CACTTGCCATTATTTGTTCAGTTATATTCTAGAAGGATATTTTAGAATCATAAGCGAAAAAACTTAAAAACTTAAAACGTAAACAAATAATTTTCAACGTTCTCCGTTATTGATGATTTGAAACTAACAGAATCCGATACGTTTAATTCAGAACCAGTTGGTGTAGATGAGAGCACTCCAAATAATGACATGGAAAAATTGTCGAAATTTGAACGACGATTCCAGCCACTCCATGCAATACGCCATGTAAATTCCTTTAAGACATCAATATTTGTAAGATAGTGAACATTAACTGTTGGAACAGCAATTGTAGACGGATGAACTTCCAAATCGACATGCCATCCAAATCTTTTAAAATTCAGATTCGATGAACAAGAAAAAATGAGAATGTATTCTCATTTATAAAATTCATATATAACATGGACGATAAGTAAAAAAAATTTTAAAAAAATATGGCAATTCGAAAAGATTTCTAATTTAGTTCTTGACTATTCAATACAATACAATAATAACAAAAAAAATTTATTCAAAAAATTATTGCACGAAAAAACCCCCATCATTTATTGCATATTTTTTATATATTCAAATTGCAAATTATATATTCAAAAAAATAGTATTTAGAAGGAAAAATAATGTATGAAGATACCTTAAAGCTAGACGAGGAATGCACGAAATATCATTGAGGAAAGGAAGTCGAGTAATGGCTGAAAAAGGGAAGACTAGCAAGAAGTAAGTTGTTTTACTAATGGTAGAAAATTAAACTATTAAGAATATGGGTGTCGATACATAAAAAGTACAAAACATACCTTTGGCAAGTTTGTTGAGAGGAGCAAAAAGATATGAATTGAAAATTTTTTTTCGAAAAATTTCTTGAATTTCAAAAACTATTTCGAGGGCTTTTTGAGCTGCATTTGACATAAATTCTGCAATATTTTGTTTAAATGTTTAAATTGAAATGTGACAGTGTGCCAAGCCAATATATTTTTCAAAATTTTTTCCTCACTATTTGGTTTCATAATCCAAACAAAGAATTTTGGTGAAAAATAAATTTATTATTTGAATTATTTTAATTTGAATTTAATATATTGGCTTAGAGTCCTTTATCACTTTGATTTTCAATTACTATTATTGGCATTGCTTCATACATAGTATGGTACTGAAAAGGCTTATTGCTGATATTACATGATATAATTTAGTTTTTTTCTGCTGCTTTTCTTTAAACTCATGTGGAATTTACTTGTTTATTTATTTCCTAATGTCGTTCGCAACTCAAGCAAGGTTTGTTCAAGACCAAACAATAATTAAAGTGTAAAGTATAATACAGTCGTCTAAAAGCAACTAATACTGAAATCTTAAAAAAACTTTACTTAAATCAAGATTTTTTTGTCCTGTTCGATCATGAATGGTTGCTTTCCATTTGAACTTTTCGGAGTCGCCCATACCACTTTGATAAGTTTTATAACATAAAGTTTTCAGCAAACTAAATCGTAATTTTCAAACAAAATCAAAAAAATTTGATATTTAAAACCATATTATATTTAATTCTTTTAACGAATTTACCCAGTGAGGTTACTGGCCAAATTTAGTTGCAATTCGATAGTTTCCTGAGAATTCTGAGTTGCCTCGATAGCAGCAATGAAGGATGATTGTGAAACAGAGAATGCTATCGCATTTATCTGCTCTTCATCCAGTTGATCACAATTCTAGAAGAAAATGTATAATTTTCTTGTAATTTCTTTTTTTTTGAGAACTTTAATAAAAAAAATTAAAAACAAAAACGAACCAAGCACGCATTACCAATTAATTCGATATACTTGTTGAACCAATAAATGAACCATTTTCTATTATCTGCCCAATGAGCTGCTTCTTGCATAAATCCAAAAGCTTTCTAGAAAATGAGGATTATGTTTACGAAATGTTAGAAAACGTATTAAAAATCAGATAGTCGACTAAAATACAAACTTCAGCAATTTTGTTTTGGGCATAAAGCTGTAAAGATGAATTATTGTGAGGGCTGTAAGCCAAATTTATGCAAATAGCTGAGAGAGATTTCGCTCTATGAATATAGGTAACTGGATATTCATTGTAAAGTTCACCTAAAAATAATAAAGTAAAAAAAAAACGAAAAAATCTTTTCAATTCTAAATAAAAAAAAAAACAATAGTGAAAATCGAAAATGTTTATTTCGTTTTATGTTTTATTTTGATATATTTTGATTTATTCTATCTATTTTTTGATAAAATATAGTTATCAAATATATTTTTAGAAAAAATTGAATACAAATTAATACAAATCAATAAAGCAAAATTCATAACGAACATAAAAAAGCAAAAAGACTAACCACAGTTCATCGCTGATACTTTTATATTTTCTACTTCATCCATACAAGAAGCAATAATATCGAATCGGTAACTCTCATACTGAAATTAATTTTTAAATCCACAAATCCATATGGTATATAAGTCCCATACGTGAGCAAGACAATTATCGAATTTCAAATAATTCGCCAGAAAAATGTTATCCAGCAAGAGCAATCAAATCAAAAATGAATAATAAGAGAAGTTAATTGAATAGATTTATTTTTCTTCCAAAAATGCATCACTTCTGATTTAGTGCATTTAGTTATAAAGGCAAAGTATTTCTAAATATTCCGATCCAACGCTATATCTAAAAGTCTAAAACCAGCCGAAGTTTTAAGTCGACGTCGATTCTTCTTCCATCCGGTAAATCCATAATCACCAAGCTGTTGTCCAAAATCTCTCTTTATACACATCGATCTAAACCTTGACGGATCTCTATCTCTGATGCCTGTTTATTTCGTTCTATTTATGTTTTATTGTTTTATTTCAAAATACACCATATACTTTGATTTATTCTATTTATTTTTTGAATAGAAGTGTGATCCAACAAAAGAAGCGCATAACGAGGCATATGTCAATTTCTGAACTGGACGATGAGGAATATGACCTAAGCAGTATAGATAATGCTCTGCTTGGATAAAACACTTTGTATTTGAATGAAGGTAAATATAATCATGTGAGTTTTATTGGCACGAGATGCATAATCCAATCGATCGCCAGTTGAAAACTGTAGAGAATAAAAAACCAAATTTGACACCTATATTTCAAAAGATTGCAGTCGAAGATTTGAGCAGCCTCAAAAGCTTTCGTCGAATGCAATCAAGGGGAAAGTTTGCTCAACATCGAAAATATTAACGCATATATCCGTTGAACTCTTGATTCCTCAACAGTTATCCTTATATCAAATACTCAGATATTTTTCTTAAAAAACAGATATGCAGACGCCTTACTCCATAGTAGGAGTTCTCTATCTCATTCTCTGGAAAATTTCACTGGCATTAGGCTTCTAAATCGTAGAAATTATTTCGCGCTCAATTGGTGGTTCGCTATTGCGATTTTATTAAAATATTGAGATTTTCGCCAAGAATAGCATAAACATGGCCATCAATGAACCACTAAAGAAAAAAAATCAGAAAATGCAAAATGCAATGTAAAAAAAATTAAAATTAAAGTTAGCTTACAGCTGCTTGCAAAATATTTCGACCAAAATTCGTATCGAAATTTAGCAAAATTCGAGATATACATTCTGCTGTTAAAATTCTTTCTAAAAATCCGCAATATTATAAATTCAATAATTAGAAAATTTAATTTAATTCGAAAAATAAATCCAAAATTTTCCCTTATTAAAGTATTTTTAAAGTTTTATTGGCTGAAAATTGGAATAAAATGGAATAAAACACATTATGTTTATTTAAAATTTGATTCTTCTTGCCATTATTTGTATTCATAAATTGTGACCGATAAATTCCTCCATATATTATAAATGTGAAATGGCAAATTAAATTCAATTTAATTTAATTTAATTTAATTATAAAAATATGGTTTGCATTTTCTAAGATTTACAAGAATCAAACAAAATCTGGTCTTTCTTTTTCTAAAGCCATAATTGGTCAAATAATGTGCATTACAACTTTGATTTTCATAGTATAACAAGTAAAATAATCAGATTTTGTATTGATTGAGTCATACGAAAACTCCCCGTCATTTACTCTATTGAAAATCAATATTTTTATTCAAAATATGTGCATCAGTGTAATATTCCATTCCTATAAAAAAATCAGACAACTGAAAAGATGCATATAGAAGTTTTCAAGATCCTCAGATTTTCTAAAGAATTTCTCTTAAAGGAGGATATTAAGAGAACTGAGAAAGTCCGTAGGCGAAAGATTATATTAACACAAGCTGTGTAAGTAGTTTTTATCTCATAGATTATCTTCAAAGAATTTTTATTTTTATCAGCTGTTTATTTGTTCTAAAACTTTAGCACTTTGTCTTGTTTTGTTTAAATAAAGCAAAAACCTTTGTTGCGTATCATAACTATCAGCAAGTTAACAATTAATTGGTCGGAATGGGCATAACTCACGCCAATTGGAGAACTGACAATATCAATTAATAACTGTAACAATTCTTTGATAGCTGTCACTGAATTTTCATTGCTAAAAATTTAAGCATCTTTACAATTTTATAATTACAGGAAATTAAAAGCAAATAATCATAAGCATTAAGAGACTTATAAATTATAAATTAATTTTATATCAATCTTATAAAAAACTCGTCCTCTTCACCATGATGCATGCATTATCATTTATATTTACTATAATTGTATATTTGAGGTAAATTGCCAGTTGCAAATTAAATCGATCCCTTGATTCGTTTCGATTCCTAATTCTTGAAGGAATTAAGCTTGCCATTAAAAGTAAAATCCAGATGCAGCGGGGAACGCACCAAACAACTTTCTACCGAAATATCAGCCTAATAGCCAATTAAATCAACCGAAACAAAAATATGAATGATAACAAAAGAAATAATATCAAACTGCAAACTGTGGCTTCAAATAATGCAAACTGCATTATTTGAAACCAAAGAAAAATATATATAGGTCACCAATTGCCAAAAAATGGTAAAATTGATAAGGATCGTTTAAAAAACAAACCATAGCAAATTCTCGTCAACCTTTTCTTCAGTACTGTTACCATTACCATTGATAAACAAGTCGAAATCGCTATACTAAACGTAGATTTAATAATAATAACCAATAATTTAGCAATAACCAGTTTATAGAAATGAAATGATAAAATACCTTTCTGCAAATGATAGCGATCAATCTATTTGCCAGAATATAATATTTTCGTTGGTCTTTTAAAAATTCATCGGTCCCAGAAAAATATAGTTTTCTGGAGCATATCAATTCGGTAAAAGTGACGAATGATTGAAGCTAAAAAACAAATTCTATAAATCAATTTAATCATAAACTAAACTCTTCTTAAATTTCTCTTTTCGAAAATGAAACCAACCGTTGAAAGGTTTTTCGCTCGTAATAAGCATTTTTTCAAAAGTGTTTGGCAATTTTCAATTTCTAGTGATCTAAAAATTCTTTCAAAATTCATGAATAATTTTAAAAAATGATAAAAATAATAAAACACAAAAATATACAAAAATAAATATATTACGATGGGTAAAATAAATTATGTAAATCAATCCTGCAATACCCATTAGAATTCAATTTTAATTGATGTAAGAGAAAAAAAATGTACTTCAAAAACTGATTCGATGACCAAACACGTAATTCGTTCGAAAAATCGATCGAAGAACTTTCATCAATTAATTGATAAACAATATTGATATCATCGTTAAATCTTGTTCGATAACGCAATAAAATATTTAAATGGCGAATCATGCTTTAAAAAAGATTCAAAATAATTATTATTTTATGTAATAAATAATTATTTTAATAAATAATTTATAAATCAATATAAATAAATAAATAATTTATAAATAATTTAATTTGAAAAATAATAATCTTAAAAAGATAAAGATGTAAAAATGTAGATATAACGAGTTTTTGGACAAAACAACATACCCTTTAGGTACCATAGAAAATAAAGAATCATCATAAATCCTGAGTGAATTGCAAAAAGCAAGAATTTGAATGAATACTGAAGTATGAAGCAAATATATATCATGAACATCTAATAAATTAAATCGCAAATTCTCTTTGAACTTGGACGTAATACATTTCATTTTGGCTAAAACTATCAAATAATATATACCGAAGAATAACAAAATAAAATCATATTGAGCTTTTAAATAGCTTTCAATTAAACACACCTGAACGAACAGCATAGGATAATATTTGGAGATAAAAGACTAATAATTCTTCAAGTTCTGCACCATTCGTTAAATTTTGTAACAGAATAAATTTACGCAATTCCATTAAGCAATCACGAAGCAAATCCATAAATAAACTGGAAATTGTGCAATTTTGTTAAAAATCAAAAAAAATTTTACAATTAAAATATATATGCAAATTTCTAGAAATTTTTCGCGATTAATTTATGCAGAAAAAAATAACAAATCCATAAATAAATAATAAATCCATAAATAAAACAAAAGCACATTAAAAAATTCCTCCATCACTTCCTGTGGGAGTATAAGTATAACCTATCCTTAACCTCATGTCCTCTACAGAAAATCTGGAAATATGAGAGTTCTGCCAAATATTTTAGTTATTGCTAGTTAAATATCATTTCTCTGCTGCGAAAATTTTTTCATAGGAGTACAAAAAAATTGCAGCTCGAGAGGGAAAGAATAAAAGAAGAAAATAATACAATAACAATAACTAACTGAGGAGGAGGCAGGTAAAATCTGAAAATGATTACAAATAAGAAGTGCTTGTTTGTACTTCTTGTACCTCTAGTCCCAAGTGATTCCCCAGAGCTTCCCCCCAACAGCAAGTTAAACCAGCCAATTAAGCTGTTAATTTTCAACGCTTACCTTGCAATAGTACTATCTGCAGATTCGCAGAGCTGATCAATACGAAGCATTGTTACATCTTCTTCAAATGTGCAAAAAAAAATAAAAAAATAAGGCAGTCCATAAAGCAAACGTTTGGAACCATCCAAAATCTTTAAAAATGTTATTTTACAACTCTTTAGAACCAATCGATTTTCAAAATTTAAATTCAAAATAAATTTAAGAATTAATTAAATATTAAATTAAATTGACAAATTCTGGTTTTTAATTTTTAATGATTATAATTAATGATTAATGATTAATGATTATATGAATGATTAATGATTAATGATTATAAATGAAAGCTGAGAATAAAGCATACACTATCACGTAAGAAATACATCAATCTATAGAAAAATCCATCGACTGGACGAAATATTGATGACGAACAAAGCTGCAAAACAACGATAACATTTAAAGCAGTTTCTACTGTCCACTTCGTCTCCATTGTTTTCAAAGTTTCGAAGAATGAGAAGGATATATCGTTAAAACTGCAAAAACTATTATATTAAAAATTAAAAAAAGAAAGAAAAAAAAGGCAAAAGCCAAAAAAATAGAAAATAAAAATTTAAAAATCAATAAAAACTGAAAATTTCCAAAAAATCGAAATTTTTTTTGAATCTTAAATATAAAGTTTTAAGTTAAATTTTTTATTCAAAAATATGTTCGCGCAGATTTTTTTCTTAACATTAAAAAGTAGATTCATGATTTATAATTACTATGATTTATCAACAAAGATAGCAGAACTGTAGATAGCCAGTGCCCAAATTTGTATCAATTCTGTTGGATGAGTTCGTGAAAAAATAGCAGCGTTGTTTAAAACTTTCAACAGAGAAGGATCGAAGCGATAGCGAACTCCAATAATATCAAGAAATACTATATGAATAGAATTCAAGGCTAAAAAAAATGATTTCTTCGCCAACTAAATTCGAATATCATATAAGATTCAACTCTGCTTTAAGTAATTTTAAGCAATCCAACAAGCCTAAAAAAGATTCAACTCTATCGAAAAATTAATGAAAAAATCATCACAATTTTGCAAATAAGACCAAAAAGAGAAAGGACTGGTCGAGTTTTTGATGCATTTAGAATATTCTCAGCCAGGATCACCATATTATTTTTTTCCATTAATATATGTCCACCACATTCAATGTGAGAAAGAACGGCGAAAAACTGAAAGACCGATCGTATAAACATACAGTCCTCTGCTCCACCAGAAGCAGCTAACCTGAAATAATGAAAACGAAAAAAATTCATTTTTTTTATGTTGGAAAAAAAAACAAAAACAAACCAGCTTAGCGTTCCGAAATCACTAACTTGACCAATTACAAAATTTAACAGATGTGATTCAGGATCCAAGAGGTGAAAATTAATGCCACCACGAACCAGTTCACACATGAGATTCAAAATCTAAAAAACCAAAAAACACGGAAATTTCATGAAAAATTCATATTTTCAAAATCTATGGTGAATTTAAAAAGGATGAAATGAAAACTTATTAAAGATTTAAACACGAACATTTGACTGAACAACAGATGAAGTAACTGATTGATATAATCGAATAGTTAACGAAACGAACGGTTCAAAAGATGCCATGTACGCTGATATTATGGATGTGCTTAACGAATTGGATTTATGATATATATCTTTTCGAAGCCATCCGGCACATCTACAAATAATGTATAAATTTATAGAAATTTATAGAAACATAGAAATTTAAAAAACTAAAAGACAATGGGAAAAATCACTTCTCTTGAATATCACTTGAAAATCATATAAAACTTTACCTCATAAGATGGCAAGTATGAAACTCAATTCGACATGATTTCACAGCAAATTCAGTGAAAATATTCGCATGTTTTAAGAAATTTGCGTCCAACAAGTCTAAAAAAATGCAAAAGTTTTTTTCTTTTAATAGCTCTCATCATCAAAGGTTAGACTTGCTTCACTCTCCTACCTGATCAGACAAATTTTACACGGGGAATTTGTCAATAAAAGTTTAGATGAATCGCCAGCATTACTCACACATTTGAAAAAAAATTTTAATCATGGTAAGATGCAATTCCAGCAGGAACAATGAGAACAATGAAATGAGGGTAATAACGCACTGAGATATTCTTCCCCCTTATTATTCTTTCAAGCATTGAAATTTCTCAATTGACAGTTTTGTTGCATTTGTTGCCCCTTATATTGCAATGCCTATAAAATCTCCTTAACCTTTTCTGATATTCTATAAAACCTCCCACTGTTCTTCCACTGTAACACGACATTGAAAATACCTTGTTCTAACTTTAATAATAGTGACATCTTCGCAATCTTAATCATACTTAAGCCTTGTTATTTCCTTCTGGAACCCAAAATAGTTTAAGAAAGCTTTTTGCTAATTTCATTGGTCATTTTAAACACCTTTTTCTACTGTACTTTGAAGATATGCTATCGAGAAAGAACTATCGGAATCTGGAGAGAGTTAAAAAAAACATCGGGATTTGAAAGCATGTTGAGGGATTACAAAAGATTTTAAGGATATAGCAGCGAGTGCGCGGACAGCAGCTCGTATAAAAGATTTTTCAATATTTTTTATTCGAAATGAAGCATCAGTTTGAACTTTGAAGAATTCACCTCTTGGAATCGCTTTATCAAAAGTAATAATTTTCCTTATAGCATTAATTGATAGCATTGTAGAATTATCGCTGAAAAGAATTTTAAAAAGTTGCAATACAATTTTAACAGTTTCAGCAGGAGCGAATTCAACCAATACTCCACAATATAAAAGTATCTGCAAATAAAGTTGATGCGTAAATATTACTTGATAAAAAATAGTAAAAATCCTCAATGTAATACTAACTGCTCTACTCTACACATCGCCCTCAGGCAGTAATTCCCAGGCGAAACACCAACTGCTAACGAAACCAGCCAAACTATAAATGAAGTCGTCAAAAAAGAAGAAAAATTAGAAAAAATCTACGTGGTAAAAACTGAATTACAAATTATAAATTTATAAATTGTAATTGTAATTTATAAATTTTTTACCTCATTTATTAGTGGAGAAATATGCGAAAAAATAGCCATTTCCAATAACGAAAAAAAACAATCTAAACCTGCAATTAGAAGAGAACAGAAACGATTCTTCGCTTCATCGTTGAGGCTGATCTAAATATAAATAAAAATGTACATTAAATTTTTAATTTTTTGGAAATAAATTGTCCTAAAACTGATTATGAAGAAGAATAAAAAAAAAACGCAATAAATAGAATTGCAATATTAGATAAAATAAATAAATGAATAAAATGCAAAAAAAGTAAATTCTAGAAATTTTACATTTATATATTTTATATTAAGTGAAACATTCAACATTCCGAATTCAATTAAATAAAAATATTTTAGAAAAAATACCAAATAATTGGTATAAGCGCCTTTCAATGCGTCAAAAAAATGATCCAAACTAGACGAATGAAAATAACTCGTAGCTTTATACATCTTTACTGAAGTTCCTACGAGATTAGCTATGGACCGTTGAGAAACATTGGCTGATGCCGTTCCGGTTACAGGTAAAGCTTTACGAATCGGCGATAACGAAGTACGAGAAAGCAATGACGATGAATAATTCGTAACATTTTGTTTCTGATCAGTTATTATTGAATAATATAAATTTAACACCCTAAATTTTTCACAGAGAAAAGTATCATTTTTAAATTATGTAGAAAATAAAAATTTCATTCTTAACAATCTCAGTAAAAAATATATTGCAACAGAAGATAAAACTTTGTGGCAGAACGATAGTCTAAACCACAACTTTAAAGGGTTTACCTTAGTGGCAAAATAAGACACTGATCCATAATATGGGTATCAATTAATTTGGGTGACGAGAAGCCACTTTCTTCTTCTCTCTTACCAGTCTGGATAAAACGGAATTCACAAATACCTGTATTTTATGATAAAAATGAATATTCTGCGACAAGGAGTGTTGAGGATACTAAGAAGCTATCTTCTTTTAACATCCTGATTTTTGAATAGGTTTACTCCTGTGGAGGTAGAAACAAATAAAAATGCAATAATAATGGCTAAATGCGAAAAAAACAATAAATTATCTCAGAATTATATTTATCGAAAAAATTTTGCGGATAATTTCAATCATAGCATATATTGTAATAAGCTATCATCTGACTTTCTCCCCTACAGTACAATTATATGGCTTTTAAAATAATTGTTTACGATGATATTAATCTAGTGCAGAACTTCTCTATTGCTGTTTTGATTTTTCCTACATCAATGTTATCTAACAACTAATTCGATTTAATAATGCACATATTGCGTTCTTCTCGAATAAATTTTTTTGCAAAGTTTTTCAAAAAAATTTTGAAACTAACCCGCAAATAAGCTAGCAATAATATCGAGAAGATGAGTAAATTCCAATATATTAAAACAATAGCAATTACATTTAGAAATCAATGCAGTGAGAAGCCCAGTAGACACGTCATTAAATGTATTAATATTCCACGCTTCTGGATATTGAGATGGTTGATAGGATTGGACCAACTTGCATAAACCATATGACAAACCTACCTAAATTAGCATTAAACAATAAAACGGATCATGGAGTGGAAAATGCAAAAAGATTAAAAAACAATATTTAACATTAGTTATTTGTTAAATGATAAAATAAAAAAAAGAAAGAAAATTAAGTTGAGAAAACATAATAAATAAAAAACAATGCAATGTAAAATAAAATAACAAAAAGTAATAATATGATAATATGATATAACCAAATGATTTTCATTCGCATATTCCGTTATTGCTGCAAAAAATTTCCGCAAAAAAACCGACAAATTCTGTGAAATGAAATATTCTTGTTGTTTGATGAAACTATAATTTTGAGACATTCCTACAGTCTGAAAACAATAATAAAAAAGTACAAATAATTTAAGGAAATTTAATACTGCTTATTCATTCACTACTTCTCTTCTACATTTCTTTTTTATTAATATTTATATCCTTATTACACATCTTTGATAACCTCGATGCTGTATGAATCCCTGCCCATTTGTACCATTACAACCTTCCTTTGATCTAGAATTTGCAAATTAACATAGTATGAAGAAATTTACAGATGTTACTATCTGGTTCCAATAAAAAAATGTGGGAGTATCTCAAATAGCGAACACAAAAAAAAAATATAAATAAATTCCTCAAATAAATGTTGTGAATCAGCTTACTAATCTTAAATTCCAATTCCTTTTTGTATACCCAAAAAAATTAATTTAGCATACAAAATCTCACATTTATTAAGGCATAATCAAATAACTAAAGTTTTTATAATACACTTCATCTGTTAATTATGCGCTGCATGCATGCCAATCACACTAAAATGTTTTTTTTACTAATGAAAACACTCTTCGGATCCGAAGATTGCAGGTTCGAGTCCTGCCAGGGTCGAACTTTTGCCATTTTTCTTTCCGTATCGCCCAATGTATACGCATACAAAAATAAATAACTTTGGACGTGTAGATCTTTGACCCCTCTTAAAAGCGCATCTGTGTATAAAATAAGCACAAGAAAAGCGTTTTACTGGAATAAGCTGAAATCATCTCTTGAACTTTTATTTTATAATTTATATTGTAATAAAAATAAAAATATCTTAGCTTGCTTGGGTATGACGACAAATCATTAGACCAACTGAAGAACCACATTCCTCCCGAAATTTTCATTTGTCCAACCTCTTGTACTAAACATAGCCAATCCATTTCCAATAATCTAATCTCCCACAACAGGAAATGTTACTAGGGCAATGTGGAAATTTATAATATATTATAATGTTATTATATTTATAATATAATATAATATATTGATATATTGTATTATCTCCCATTTAAGAAAAGAGGCTTCTGAAGGATTATACAATAAAAATCTAATGATACTGACCACAGTCTCTGCAGCGAAGATGGACACCCTGCCTATAACTCAGACTTTGTTGCGTATAAGATCCTGATTCCCATCTAAACGTGAAAAATTTTCTGTAACTATGTGAAATACTATGTGAAATAAATCAATATTTGTTTCGGCAAAAAATATCTTTAGCAAGCTCACTTTGGTGAAATGTCAAAATGAAATCTGATCGACTCGTGACTAATGAGACTGCAGCGAAACCGGTCTTAACAAGATATCTCGAAGCAAACTGAGCTCAACATTATTAAGAACTTTCGAAGTTCGATAAAGTAAATAAATATATTGCAAAATTCTTTATAGGTACAATTCATTTGTTTACATCAATAAACAAAAATTGCCTAGATAAATCCATATTTAATGAAAAAAGTACATTTTCAAACAACTGACCAGAGTTATAAATGGAAATGCAGAATTAAGAAATGCTTTAGGCTGTTTTGGAGGATATATTTCGGAATAATCACAGAAATTGGCATTCGAAACCAGTCTAAAATATGAAAGAAAATAAATAAAGGAAAAATCGAAAGAAAACTTTAGATAATACTGGAAATTATTGATTGGAACCAATATCATTCAAATATAATAGCTTCAATTTAGATGACAAATATTACAACTCTTTAAAAGTATTAAAAAAAAATTACAGAGGAAGATTTTCTGCCACAACTTTCTGTACTCTTGGATCTTCATCAGCCAGAAGTTTAATATAAACCCGGAACACTTCATGAGGCAATTTACAAGTAAAGCGAGAGTTGGCAATTGACCATTCGACACTTGCTAAATATTCAGCAACAGCGATCTGCAGCAGGAATGAATAATTTAATTGATTTAGAAAGACCACATCATATCATAACAGATCATGTTAAAAAAGAAAACATACCCGTAGCAAAAAATAATTATCGTTGTATTTTTTACAAGCAAATTTACACACTTCGTCAATGATTCCCAGTGTATAAACAATTTCCTTCGCCGACTTTAAAGACTGTAACAATGTACGATTGCAATACGATCGATTAGATCGCATCAAATCAATGATAACCTTTTGGAATGTATCATGTAAATCTAAAATAATGAACAAAATAGAAAATTTATTTTTAAAAGCAGTCAACATTTCTACTTAAGTTCGCTCTGCTGGCTAGTCAGACTAAAAAATTTTCCCAAGGAATCATTGGGCGACAGAAATACAAATGAATCGTCTGCATTACCCGAATTTTTCAAAGGTAAATTTATACTGCCAGGAATAAAATCCCAGCACTGGCACTGCGAAATGAGAATAACTCACTGATCATTCTAATCTCCACTGCTTTCGTATTTCCGATTTCTGAAGCACAAAGAAGTGTGATGTATGGGCCGAACTCGAATTTAAGTCATCGATAAAAATTGGCAAGTACCGTGCCAATAACCCATCAGTGTAGCAAATAAAAACAAAAAAAGTACATAAGATGACATTACAGACCTATGAAACGATGTCCCAAATACCGAAAAGCTGATTGAGCAGCATTAACAATAACCGTGATTGTTGCAGCTTTAAGCTGGTCATCCTCATGAGTAAGAAATAACTGAATATCTTTCAACTGCTGAACTCCTAAACCACCTAAATCAATCAATCAATTATAAATAATTTTTGTATAGTTATAATAAACAATAAATTATAAATAACAATTAAATTTTTGTTTAAAAAGTAAATTTCGGCGGAAGTATCGAATAACACATGAATATCATATGCGCCATGATAAGATTAAATTCTATGGGCTAATGCAATAAATGGTTTTAAATGGTATTGCAATTTATCTGCTAATAGAAATAAATGGAAATAAATTGTTGCACTAATAGAAATAAAATTTCCATTGTTACGGCTATCTTGTGACTAACACGAACATCATATATACAATATTCATGTTTAATCCTCATATTTATTTACACGAAATGTATACACTATTTATAAGACAGAAATAGATAAAATAATAAAATATATATTAAAAAAATAACCTCTTAAATTTAGAGGTATTTCGAGAAATTCTGGCAAATAAAGGGCTAAATGCGACATACATGCCATAGCTAGAATCTTATGACTAACACGAACATCTTGATCAGTTATAAGTTGAAAACACTGGTTCGCTAAGAGAAATCGACGAGCAATTAATACTGATGCATATTCATATACAGCATTCGACGCTAAAAGAAATTGAAAATTGAAAGAATTAACATAATCAATCGAGAATTCAATATCGTAAATAAATTCGACATAATAAAAATTTAGTTTATGGAAATTTAATAATTCCAATAAAAATAAAAATAACAAAATTCGGCAGTCAAAGAGTATGGTATGGAAGTCACAAATGATTGAGGACTAGAAGTGCTGAAAGATAATTCCAGAAAATTTTGCTTCACATCACTTGAAACTATTTCGGTTGAATCTATATCGTGACGCAGTGGATCAATTATTTCATCCTCTGTGTTCAGTTCATTCGCCTAAAAACAAAATTCAGGAAAACAAAAGCCTAAAAAAAAGGAATAAAAGAATTAAGAGATTGCGATATGAAAGGAATAATTACCATTTCTGAATTCCTACTCTCAATATCCGAATAAATTTCAACAAATGAATCATTTAAATCTTTTAGGTTTGAGGAATCACCGAATAAAGAATCGGTTGGACTTGTTCTCACGGAACTTATATTACTTGGAACTTCTTGCAATCCTATAAAATTAAAAATCCTTATGACTATAAATTTAAATACAGTTTCAATGAATAGCTGTAATTTTAACATCTTGCGAATTTTCTTTTTTTTAAATAATATTAAATCATTGTGTTTGTACTTTATCGTAAAGACTTATCCCTAATAAAAAGCCCAGCAAAGTTCAAATTTAAATGTTTCTTCTCAAACCAAAACTGTGGGTAATCCAAATAGAAATATCCAAATGACCAATGAAATATTCAACGAAACTTTTCCGAAAATAAATCGACTATCATTCGTCTCAATCTGCATTTCGCGAAATAATCTTCTTATTCGAATAAAATAATAAATGATAAATATAAATGCCATAAACTAATCCTAACTTTGAGTAAGAATAAGAGGAAAAACCAACGTAATTGCGGTGAAACAGAAATTTTAGCGTTATATTCCTCTGTTTCCAGAAAAGTTGCTGCGAAATATTGAGGGAAAAATTGGGAATTCATAACATTTGGAAATGATGTAGAAACAATACGCTCGAACAATTCAAGCGAAGCAATAATAACGTCATTATGACGGGAATATAAGCAACGTAAAACATTATAAATTATCTAAAACAAAAACCATTTCTACGAAATCTGGAATTTAATCGCAAATCGCTTTCCTTTGATATCATTTAAATTATTTTAATTTTTTAAATTTTTTCCCAAAAGTGCACACCATTTCCTTTGGTCGAACAAAAACAAATTTTGTCAATCATTTAGTAATAAAAGTCGAATCATTCGGATTCTTTAAATATTAAACCCTATATTTTTAAACCAATTAAACAATCATATCCTATCAGATGTTATCAAATTTCTTTAAAATTGAAATTAGAATTGCTGCAAAAATCAAGAAAATAAATAAAAACTGTAAATCCAGAGATATTTCATTGAATTAAATATTTCACTGAACAACAGTAATATTATTAAAAAAACAGTAATGGACCAACACATTGGTATTTCTTGCATTCATCTTTATCGCTGCTTAATGCAAACTGCGGCCATAAATAACGAAGTGAATTCAGCGTTCCCACTAGAATATTTCTTCCATCATGATCATGAGCCGATGCTAATGTTTCTAAAAGATAATTTCAAAAAGGATTGAAATTTATTTGAATAATTGGTCCGAAAAAATAAATCATGCTTTTATTTCTGAAAATTTTTTCAAAATATAATTTATCACCAATTTAAAAAAATATTTTAAGTGCACATTTTCAGAAAAATGATTGAAATAGATTGTAAACCAGTAAAAATAATCGTTATTTCTTAGAAAATTTAATATTTCCGAACTTAATCCAATCCTAAAAATAGCAAATTCATTTTTCGAATCGCTCATTAAATTTCGTGATGGTATAATACCGCAAAAAGTGCATCAGATACATCGATAACCCATCATTATATCCTAAATTACTTTGCTTTCAACTCGATAAAACGACCGTATTTAGCAAATAACTCAAAAGTATTTCAAAAAAATAACAAGAGTTATTAGGTACTTTACGAGCATATATTAGCACAAGTTGCACATGCAAAACTGGCAAAATCTTCTAAAATGTGAATGTGTGCTCCGTTTCCGTTTCTTTTTCGACTATGCGGTAGATTGTATCATTATCCAAATTCATCAGTGATTGAAAAAATGCCTGATTTTAAAAGTCAATGATTCCATTTTATTGTTTAATCGCCAAGAAAAAGAGAAATTCCAGCCAGGACGAGAACTTTATGCGATTGCACAGAGCTCCAAAATCGGCCAAAAAATGAAAGTTAACATCTATCTCGGTAATATGTAAAATGTTAATAAAAAACTACGAAATACTGCCAATGAGCCAAGAAAATATTAGGAAAAAAAAATTAGTTATATTGGTTGTATAACTTTGATAAATCCTATCTATGCTATATTTACTGATCATATGAAACAGCACACGGCTGCAAAAATTCCCAGTATTAGATCCAATGATTGTTTCGTAGCCTACGCTGGCTAAATCTCATTTCATGAGTTGATGCATATTTAAACCCTATAGTGAGGTAGCATCGAAGGAAGTCTAATCAAAATGTGGATCGATAAAATCAGAGAACATTCTATAAAAACTTGGCAATTTGTAGGTGATGACACTGGAAAAAATAGTAAAAATAGTAAAAAAATAGTAATAATGGTAGATTCCACGAATTTAAGAAGCCTACAAACCGTCTTATTTTAATAACCAGCCAAATAAGCTAAAACCAAATAAATAAGTCTCATATAGTTATCTCTTCTGCTGATTTTATACATTGCCTTCACCAAAAAAATTATTTATTTAAAAATACTTTCATGAAAATCTTACTACAGAAATTCTGCAAAGCCATCTTTCTGATATCGCAAAACCAAACTGATAACTGCCAAATAATCATCACTGCTGCTCGATTTGCTGTCCCACACAGTTCAAGATTAACCAAAGCTAGTTGAAGAAGTTGCTTGAAATCCATTATTTAATATATGAATATTCCACTAAATGAAATTTCCATTCATAAAACAACGAAAGAAAATAAGAATTTTCAAAAAATTACTCGTGCATCATCACTGACTTGAACATTTGATTCGCGACTAAAAAACTGAAAAATTGTCGGAATACAGCGTTCTAAAACACTTTGCACCATTTCCTCCGGTCTTTTAATAATCGATAATAACGCAGAAATGAAATGAATACTAATCGCTCTACAACAAAATCTCACCGTCAATTATTCCAATAAATTTTTTTTTAAAGTTTTTTAGAAAATTATTAACTGAAGTCGACTTTCATAATTAATTTTTTAACAACATAATAACAAGCTTATTTGGTGTCATATGCGCTCTATACGCTCTACATTTGAGTTTCTCTACCATTTATTTATATCGAAACCATGCAATCTACCTAAGGACGAAAGACTTTACTGTTTTCGTAAAACGTAATGAATTCCGCTTCCTATTCAAAAAATATATGACATTCGCTACAAAATAAACCGTACAGTTTATCTAAAAAGAAATAGCGAACCTTATACGATTGCCTTTTACGTATCTAATGATATCTGCAAAACGTACAATTGCTGCAACAAGTGAACGCGCTCGACCATTTCGTTTTATTTCAGACATCAATATGAGAATAGCTCGTGAACTATTAAATTCCACGATCATAAACTAAAATATTTACGCACTTATATTTTTAAATCATAAAGGATTAATATATTAATACGAATAATAAAATTATAATAATTATAATTATAATGGAAATATATGAAATAAAAGGCTTTATCCAAGAAAAATAAAAGCTCCAAAATATATTTTAATAATTTAGAAAAAATGATTTGAAACAAATAAATACGGAAATGAAAATGAGCTTTACTGACGTGCAAAATACAATCGAGCGTTTGTTCACAAATCAGCCGCAAATCCGCATTTCGATGAGCGATAAAATAAAACAATAATTCCATTAAGCGGTTCATCTCACTATTGAATTTCAAATCTTTTCTAAAATTTGAGATATTTGAATTGGCATTAAAAATAAAAAAACTTCGGAAAATGAAAATGTTGCCGAAAAAAAACAAATCACCTTAGTTGCGAATCCATAAATATGGATTTCATTTCGATAAAAGCATTTCTCTCTTTTTCATAATTTTCAGTTTTTCTTCTAAAAGCATCATTTTTATCAATGTTTTTGATGTAAACTACTACTGCTAACAATTTTTGTTATTATTTATTCATTACTTATCATTATTATTATCATTATTATTATTATTATTATAGTTACAATTGTAATTATTACCATTATTATTGTTATTATTAGTCATATTAATAAAAAAAATCGGTGTGTTTAACTATTAAATTGTCGATTCTTTTATATTTTACATATTAAATATGAAATTAAAAAAAATATTTAATCTCTAATGTCTTTCTGTGTTTCGCTTTTTCAAACCGAAATTTGACACCGTAAGGTTTGTACAAATGAAAACGCTTATTAGTCACCTATTTTATTAATCCATTAAATGAAATCATCGAAACGATGAGATTATGGAATTATTTGAAATATTTTCATGATATTTGATTTGTTTTTTTATTTTCTAGAAAGTTTTCATAAATTATTTAAAAAAAAGCAATTTTAAAAAATAAGGAATAAAAATTACGTATTTTGCGTTGTTGATTCATTCGCATTCATCGAGGTTGTTAAAATGGAAAATAATTTTGAAATTCGATCCATTATAATTTTTAATAAACTGTATTAACAAAAATTCAACTATCAGTTTCTATTTCCATTGTATTTGTGTCTAAAATGAAATAAAATATTTCTGCTAAAAGCGATTATTAGAAACGAATCCTTGTCATATCTTATCAAAGGCCAATAAACCGAAATCATTTATGCATTAAAACCAAATCAACCATGTCGTTCTGCATTCTATTTACTGACTTGCTGACCTTCGTTTCGATCAACTCTCTTATCATATATGCAACTCGATAGATTAATTTTGGATGCATCAATGAACTGTTATTTCATCGTTCTCGATGTTTTCAATGAACTTCAACGGGAATAATATGATTATAAATGGTTTTAATGAGTAAAAATATTTAAAATGGTACCAAAAACTCGATTAGTACCAATAGTGGATCTAAACACTTCTTGCTGACTGCTTGTGAAGCACAACCTTAATTGGTACCATGTTTGCTCACGCTTTTACTATCAACACAAATCAATATTTCATTCAAAGATTTTCTCAAAAAACCAATTCATAACTCCATTCCCAAAAAGAAAATGGGGACAAGAAAAAAGTAGATGCCGGTCAACAGGAGTACGAGAAATCAGCGGGGGGAAGGGGGAATCGATGGCGGGGAGAAAAGATGGAACCAGTACATCCTCCTTTATTTAATTCCTAGCACACAAACTAAACTCTTTACGAATTTCGAAAAAAAACAATAAACCTTCGAAGCAAAATCAACCACCAAACAGTTGCTACCTGTAAGTGCCAAATAACAGAAAGTGGAATGTAGTAGAACATCTGATCGCTGATTTCCAATTACTAAACGTCGGATCGGTCTCGACTAAGTAAATTTTTTTTTTGATTTGCGATTTAATTAATTTCCTTGTCGTAAAAATAATTCATTTTAATTTTCCTTCCTTATTTTCGTTATTGTTATAAATCGTTCATATTTGTTTCATATATATTTCCGAAAAACTAACGAAAAGTCGTGGAAGCTGGAGGGGGAGGCGAAGGGGAGGGAACGGGGAGGGAGTGCGGCCTATTTTATTACACTTTAATCATTTGCTGTTATAATCTACCTGTGTAATGATTTGTTGGTGTGTATATGTGTGTGCGTCTATATTACTTAGGAAAACCATTTTCAATACTTTGTGGTGTTTCTCCCCCAAACGTCATTGGTACTCTTCTAATATCTTCTTCCCTCTATTTCTCTTTAAATTCCTGTTCGTCTTAGGAGAATTCATTTTGAACCGTCAAAAGAATCCACTTACTATTACATCTCTTAAATCACCTTTGCCTCCTCAATTATTTCCTCAGAATTTACTGTATTCCTCATTATTTAACGAAACTGTTTCATCTCTATTTTCATCCCAAAAGTATTCTTAGCACAATCTTCATTAGGCATTATTATTATAGTTTCTGTCGCGCTGAATTCCTGTAACCTAATTCCTTCTCTTTCGATATTTCTGGGCAAATTTTGAAGGAAAAGAATATTCGTAAACTTATTATCTTGGTTGTGTTATTTTAAAGGTGAAATTATTTGGTTTGTTTCGAGGAATGCTCGCCTTTTCTGATTCGGATCAGAAATCCTCTGGCCGGACCCGACGAAGTCATTTTTTCAGCATTTGATGATTACAGAATTACAGATACATCTTCAGTCACCCATCTCTGATTTTTTCGAGAGGAAAGTCTAATTCTGTAAAGAATGATACGCCAGCATCGGCACTTCTGGATAGGGAGCAACATACCATTGCGTCATTCTGCTATGATGGCCGATATTTTTCTATTCAATTTCGAAATTCTTATTTTTTTTTACAACAGCAAAATCATTTATATCGTAAAAATCGCCGATCACAATTCAATTTTTGGAATAGTAAATTTGAGTTTTACAGATATGGATTTTTTTCAGGTGATAATGAGTCGACAATCGGGTATTATAACAAAAAAATCGCCTCGCTCATCGCCAAAGCCTCAAACTACTAATTTACTTATTAATAATTCTTTAATTACTTGTGTAACAATAGCTGTTATATTTTTATCAGTTATCATTCGTTACTATTACTATTATATTTATTTACCTCAACGATCATTAACGAAAAGTAGTTTACCATTAATTAATCATCCATATGATCCCGTTCGTATTATATTTTCTTTTTTCTTATATTTTTTTATTAAAAAGATTTTATTTTTAATTCCAATTAATTTAGTAACAGAAGTACAAATGAGTCCCTCGGGAGCTATGAGCATTTTATTTTTTAGAATTATCTTATAGGAGTTCTCTTCCTTTTTTTTAAAGAGCTTTCATCGTTGCTGATTAAGCTCGCTCCACCGGGCTGTCAGGTTCGGCAAATATACCAGGCGTTTCCTTGGCGATAAAGAATACGGAAAAGTTGCCACCATCACCCGAAAATATCCATATCGCTTAATTTATAGTTAAACACTATAATTTAATTTATAATTATAAATTATATATAATTTAAATTTAAGTATTATGTAGTTTTATGTAGTCGTAATTTTATTTTATCTTTTAGAAGATATGGGGAACATATCGTTCTCATATGTATTTTGGCCTACGTACTCAACATCCAGAATCACCGTTATTTGGTTTGATGTGGTACCGAAATGGTTTTGATGATACTATGCCAAAAATTCGACATTGGTGTGAAAAAGTAAAACTAAAAATATATTTATTATATTATAATGTCCTAAAAAAAATTTTATTTTTGCATGCAATATGCAATTTTATGCAATTTATGCAATTCTAATATGCAATTTTTTAAATCACATTTAATTCAGAGATTAACTATTAAAAGCTTAATAACTCGAATAGCAGCTAATGCTTTCCACGCAGAGAATAAGACATCGTTTAAAAATTTTTTTTTGGGACAATGGTGTTCTAAAGTATGGGTGGACTGAAGCTGATGGTCGTACATTTGGTAGGCAAAAAATTGATGATGATCCACTGGAATTAGAAATTGATTGGTTAAATAATGGTCATTCTTGGTCAGCACGTATTCGAACGACTTCAATAATTGATTCTTATTACGCGTTTATTTTTTATTTCACATTACAGGTTATACTTTTAATTTAAATCTTCTCAAATTAGTCTTTTTATATTTAAAGAGTAATTTTTCAAAAAGGCATTCTTCCAATTCTGACTAATTCATTCAACAAACCACTATCTATATCCAAGATTCTCTTTCGAATACAACGAATGCAAATGAGTTGAAGATTAAATAAATAAATAAGTAGAAGAAAATCCTAGCGAAAATTTTATGAAATCTACAAATGAATTTTATACTCTTGGATTTTTTAGGATACAAAAAGTGTAATTTTTCCTAATTACAAAGATGATTTGAATCAGTCGTTTACTGGTCATTCTCCAATTATTGGTGATTTTTCTTTTAATCTACTTTCAACAATTCCCATACAATTCCGTTCATATTTTGCTGCAAAAATCACTCCATATCCGGATGCAAGTCATCTTCAGGTTAATGTTGCAGTTTTAGGCTTTTTTCTTCAAATTTTACCAACTTTTAAATTTTCACACATTAAAATTAAAATATTTTAGCAAAAATTCCTTTTTTTCTTTAGTTTTTTTTCACAATTAGTTAGTTAATTTAGTTTTTTTTGGTTTCTTATTTATTTAGAAAACCACCAAACGCTGCTAAAAATGCCATGTGCTTGTGATAACTAAAGAAATTCATGCAAATAAAATAATTTTAAAAAAATTTACAAATAAAAGAAGGAGATGGGGCAATTTTTTACCAGTGATTTAGCAATAAAAAAGTACGAGTAGCAATGAAGAAAACAAAAAGCACAATTTATTGTTCTGGTAACATTGATGTCCAAATAGAAGTCATAATATTTGTTGCAGTTCCAATAACTAAATAAAATCTTATAAGTGAACTTCGTGCTTATTTAATTTTTGACTCCATGTGAACCAAGTTCATACCTCTTGGGAACTTAAGCCGAGAAAGATTTTTCGTTTTTTTTGTACGTTAAATATTTATTTGGTGAAGATAATCTGTTTGATAAATTTGGAATCTTAACTTTATTAATCTTTATCTATTCGGAAAAGATCTATTATATTTATTATTATTTATTTTTATTTATTATAAGTATATAATAATTTATACCAATATATAACAATTTTTTGTAGCATTATAATATGTAGATAATATATAACATTGATCTGAGTTGAGCTGAGTTTCGATCGAGTAGAAAATTTATTTCTATCTTCCAGCTAGTCGATTTTCCATACCTAAATAGGATTGAAGCTATATTTTTTGCGAATATTTTATTTTATTTATATTTTATTGAAACTATATTTTATTTCGAAATTTCGACTTCACTAGATTCATAATATAATAAATTTTATTTTCCAATAAAATTTTCCAATAAAATTTTATTCTTTTCAGGAATTGATATTATCAAATTCAGTAATAGATCGGCATATTCAACTGTTTCGTCTTCCCAGTGGTCTTCTTGATGGAGATATGGAGGCAAATCCCAATATTGTTGCATTTCAGCTTAATCTTTCCGCGAACTCAACTGTTGAAATTTCATTCTCCACTGATGAACCTCCCATCACTGGTATTATTTGTGCTTCTCCTATTCATGTTTCTGCTATTATTCTTTTGAACTTTATGAATTTCTATGAGAAATTAAGTTGCAAATGTAAAAAAAAGATTTTTTTGGTGCAGAAATATGAAAACAACTTCTATCAATACAATATTAATTTTATGCTTTATTAATTTATTTACACTTGTCACCCCAAAAAGTAGATAGCGATTTTTTCTTCACCATATGTGAGTTATTCATAAATTGCTTAAAATTTTAAGCACAGATTGTCTGGATAGTTTCATGTAACATGACAAGTCTGTGCTTTCAAACTGCTAAATCTTTTCGTAGTAAAAGATCTATGCACGTCAAGACAAAATCCATCTGCACATCGGGCTTAACCTGCTGGATGCGGAATATAGTGTTGCAGCCTCATATCCTTGCGCATTAATCGTTAACACAATTATTTCGCTTTTTGCTTGGGAGATCATCAGATTAAATTCTATGTGGAAAATTTTTATTTAAATCATCACTCTATAGCATTATAAGAGCTTAAACAATGATGATTAATCCGAAATTCCACTGTAGTGGAACCAAATCTTATCTGAACTATCATCCAGAAATTGTAATTGCCATCCAGAATTAAGAATATAAACTTCAGGAAGTATTTGGATAGACTGTGTACGATTAATCTCTGGCTTCCAATATCCATAAAGTTTTGGATTCCATGTATGGGCCGCACTAGTAATATGCCTATCATTTTAGCTTTGCTGGTGGATTTTTGTTAAAGATTTCATTATTTTATTTCATGTAAATTGGGCTTGGAAAGATTGTTAGAAATATATTTATTGGGTTTAATGAATTTTAATTCGAATTGCGGCCGGAATTTGATTTTTTTCACTATTATTTTAATAAATAATTTGTAATCAAATAATTAAATTAATGTCATAATCAATTCAGGAAAATCCTTCACGGAAACTTTTGAAGGACGGTTCAATAACTTTATGGATAAATTTGAAAAAAGCTATGGACTCACATCAAAAGTATATTTCATCTTGTTATCATATTAATTTTTTTCTAATTATTGAATGTTTCTAATTATTGAATTCAAATTCTCTTTTTTTGGAAAAATTTTTTTATGCGTATTTTTTCTTTAATATGAAGGTGAATTTATCGGTGACGCTGTCATAATTTTCAGGGTTACAGTTCGTTTTATCAACAACTTGGTCGCGCAGCTTTATCCAATATGTTAGGAAGCATTGGTTATACGTTTGGATTTAACCGTGTTCTTAATCATTATTCAAGTAAGTTATCGTTGTATGGACCGCATTCACTTTTGACATCATGTCCATCGCGATCAGTTTTTCCTCGGGGATTTTTGTGGGATGAAGGATTTCACCATTTGCTCTTCAGGAAATTTGATCCAGAACTTTCACTACAAGTATTGATTTTTGCTAGATTTTAGTAATTTATTTGCAACTTTTATGTTCTTAAATTTTTTTATTTGAGAAATCAGTTTCAATAATACATATTTAGGAAAATTATTCGAATAATTCTTTCTTCAAATTTTTATTCCATGAAATGATATCAAAATCAAAATTACTTTTTTTTTTATTTTATTTTAACAGACTTTTCAAAAAATTTCTAGATTATATCCTCATGGCTTGATATAATGAATTTGGAAGGATGGATTCCTAGAGAAATGATATTGGGTACTGAGGCTGAACAACGTGTTCCAGCCGAATTTATTGTGCAGAGCGATAGTATGGCCAATCCTCCAATGTTTTTTTATCTTATTGAAAAATTTATTGATGATGATCAGGTTGCTTTTTTCTTTTCTCTTCTTACTTCTCTTTTTTTGCATTTTTTAGGATCGTTCTTATTTTAGAATTCTTCTTAAATTAATTTATTTTTCAGTTTATGTCATCTCATAAGGAGGTTCTCATGAAATTTTATCCTCGATTAAAACTGTGGTATAACTGGCTTAATACCACTCAATTAGGTCCACTTCCAGGAACATATCGTTGGAGAGGAAGAAATAGTACAACTGACACTGAATTAAATCCAAAAACGCTACCTAGTGGTCTGGATGATTTTCCTCGTGCTTCACATCCAACTGATGAGGTATTATAAAAAAAATGAGAAAATTTAAAGATATTTTGAAATATTTCCTGCGATTTTTCTTATTTAAAGGAGTATCATATTGATCTACGTTGTTGGATGGTATTTTCTGCCAAAGTACTTTCACGACTTGCCGTGCTTGTAGGTGATAAAGCAGGTGAAGCTTTGTATTCTTCCACTTTCGATTATTTATCGGATTTCGAGCTTCTAAATCGTCTTCATTGGAGTCAAAAACAACAAAGGTCGGCCTTTTAGTTTATTGTAAATATGAGATGAGAGCTTGAAAGCAAACTGAAATTTAAACTGATATTTCATCATAAAATTTAAGATACTGTGATTACGGCCTTCATAGTTCTTCTGTTATTTTGAAACGTATGGAGGAGAAACCTGATGATATTCATCCTCCTCTTATGAAACGTGTCACAGAGACTGCTCCGGTACTTTCTTTAGTCGATGATACTTTTGGATATATTTCTCTGTTTCCACTTATGTTACAACTTATGCCGCATGATTCTGATCAATTAAAAGTTACAATCGAACATATGAGATCCGATAAGGTTTAGCAATCGATATATCATTGTATTTTTATTCTTTCAGTTTTTTTTCATATTTTACCAATTTTAGTAAATATACTTATAGAAGTTTTTTTTTGAGCTGATAACTTCAAAAATTAATTTTTTAAAAATTAATTTTTTATTTAAACTTTATTAAGTCTATTTTCTATTTTTACTTTTCCAGGAACTTTGGACAATGTTCGGTTTACGTTCAATTTCTCCGTCTTCACCGTATTATCACGCACATAACACCGAACATGATGCCCCTTATTGGCGTGGAGCTATTTGGGTTAATATGAATTATTTGGTTTTATCAGCGTTGAAACATTATTCATTTATTGCTGGACCAAATCAAGAATTGGTGAGGTTCTTTACTTGTTATTTATAATTTTGTTTCTTCAGATTCAAAATTTCATATCATTTTGCGTCATATGAACTATAGGACTTACCTCTCTAGAATCTTTTTTGGTTGTACTATTCTATATTTAAAGCCATATTTTATTGGGAAATTTTTAGCGAGACTTGCATCATTTCTCGAGATGGATAATGGCATAGCACAGTGTCATAGCTAGTTTTTGCTATTATTAATTCTTGATTTCTAATTATAACTCAAAACCTCATTTATTCATTATTTTTTTCAAATTGATCTGATTTATTGTCTCAAAAATTATTTTTCACCAATATGATTAAAGTTCAAAAAATATGAATTAGAGTGAATATGAATTAAATATGAATTTCATTCCATAACGACTAATAGCCATAACGACTAATTTATTTCAGGCTTTTAACGTTTATTCTGAATTGCGAAATAATTTGGTCACAAATATTGCTCGTGAATTTAAACGAACTGGTTATTTATGGGAAAGTTATGATGATACAAATGGTTATGGTCGAGGAGCTCATCCTTTCACCGGATGGTCATCTCTTGTTTTATCCATTATGGCTGAGCAGTATGATTAAAGTTTCTGCAAGAAGAGGTAACCTTATAATTCATTAAATATTTTTTTAAATATCGCTATATTTATACAATTGATTTTGTATATATTGTTTCTGCAAAGGAGATTACCATAGATTTTTTCTCCTATTAGAAATGAACCTTTTATTAAAATTTGCTCTTGCATATGCACTTATATGCACAAAAAAATTTTTCCATTTTAAGCAACAGTAATTTTCCAATTCATCAATTCAATTCATCTAATCACAGTTCATATTGCAGAAACAAAATTTTTTTAAATAGAAGTGGGAGTTATCATTGTCAATCATTTGGTGCAGTAGAGTGAATCGGCTGTGTAAAATAGCCAGTTATATTATTTTTTAAATATTTTTTTCCTGCATTATTTTTTTTAAAATTCTTATGATCCAATTTCATGCTTTATTTGTTCCACGAATAATAATTTTTTGACTGTTAGCTATTTTGATTTATATAGGATTATTTTTTTGAAAAATAATTGTTATTGGGATTTGTTCTTAATTTTATATTTTTTGATTTTATTTTCAGTAATAGCTATTGTTATATTTTAATTATTTGTTTCGTTCACTATGTTACCCTAATGTTAATTGTTGTTGATATTTGGTTTTTGAGAAATTTGGCTATAGGTAATATGCTAGTGGATGAAATGATGTTTGAGCAAAGTTGTTTTTTTCCAAATCATTTGTTTAAAAATTGATATGAATTTGATCTAAATTTGTAGCTATTCAAAAATTATTAGTCAATTAATATCTGAAAATATGTGATATCCTTTGACCATTCGCAATAAAAGTGCTTTCAGTATATAAAAAAAATAGCTTTTGTGGTATTATATTTAATTCTGATTGTTGTTTTGGCCACCTTTAAAGTATTTTTTTAAAAGAATATCATAAAAAAATACTAATTGAGATATAGGAAAATTGATGAAACTAAGAACGAATCTCAATTTGTGATAAATTCCATCTTTGAATAGCACTTTGGCCATCTTCATTGATGTTATTGAGTGAAAATTATTTGATAGAGTTTTGCCGCAATTACAGATTATGGATTACAGAAATTTTGAGATTATGGAATATTATGTATAATCATTAACAATTCTTGTTTATTTATTTTTAATAATAAAATGCAATAAAACAATTTTTAAATATTTTAAAAGCATCAAGTCGAGATTATTTTTTCTGCGAATATTTTTTTTATCATTTTATCATTTTTCGTTATCAATATGTTCACTTTATCAACGATTGTGATGATTATTTTAATTTGTTCGGAGTGTCGAAAACCGATTATCAATGAAAGCTCAACGAGTGAAAAATTTTATATTGTTGGGGCATTCGACTATTTATTTGGCTGCTTTTATATCGCTTTATTGGCAAGTTCCTGGTAATTATTTTCATTTGTACATTTCGTTTCGGTTAGAGTTAGACGAATTAAAATCTGATTTTTATGGATTGCGAAGATACGCTAGCCTACTTATATTATAATAATAATTAGCTGGAGGCATTGGCCTGGGAGAGTGCGCTAGCGAGTTTATAAGTCGGCATTTTTTGTGCAGTTTTTAAAGTAAGTTACCCAGAGATGTTTTTGTATAACCTTCAATCTCCAGTTTTCAAAGGATGATTTTGTAAAAATATCGAAATTATCGAAAGGCGCATCTTGAGTGAACAGCGATAGAAATTGCATATTATTTTCTGCTTTGCTTTGTAGTACTTTTTTAATTTCTTGTGATATTTTTGGTTTTCCTTTCTAATATTACCAGTTTGATAGTTTATTATTGCTTATTTACTCAGTTCGTTAGTTTAAATAAATAAATAAAAATAAAATAAAAATGAGAAATTTTATTTATATTTCCAGGATTTAATTTAAATATTTCCAGGATTATATGGTGAATCTGGTCTTTTACCAATCGCATCGTATTTTGGCTGTGGTTCGTTTATTTCCATTCATATGAATAATTTTTTCAATGAATTCGTTGATAATTTTACAAATAAATGCTGAACAGTTTTCTCTTCTTGTTACGAGGGATCACCATGACTGACTGCATTGTCAATGAATTATTTTGCTAGAGAATAAGTTTAAGGTATAATTGGAATTGGTTGCTCAGCATGTGTCCGATTTTCATTTTGAAAAACTATCGAGAGATGGACATCGGATCTATTCCACTTGTTATCAGTGGTAGCAGTATGCTTTCTCTAGCGCTTTGCAAATCATTTATAAACTTATTCTCGGAATTTTTTTAACAAATATTTAGGTCGAGAAGTTTGCCAGTTGAAGCAGGAAGGCTTGAATATATTACCTATAGTTATCAATACTTTGCATTTGGCTCCATCTTATGCTTTGCAATTCATTTTGATTTGTGGAATATTGCTTTCCTCACTTACATTCATATTTGATTCGTTTAGAAATACTATTTCTTATTTTTGTCTGTGGATAATTCATTTGTCGGCATTTCAGGTGAGCTAAATTTTTTGAAAAAATATGAAATAATTTCAGTTTTTTTTTGTATTAGAATGAGTAATGAATCGATCGGTTCAAAAAAAAAGATACTATTTGAATTATCGAAAATTTCTAGGTTGGTGGCGTTTTTTTGTGGTTTCAATGGGATACTCTTCTTCTTGAATCGGGTGCAATATGTATTTTATTAGCAAATTTGCCATTCATTGGGGCTACTTCTGCTGATAATATTTCATTGTTCTTGATACGATGGCTTTGTTTTCGATTAATGTTTTCTTCTGGTCTTGTGAAACTTTTAAGTCATTGCCCTTTATGGTGGAATTTGGCTGGTTAGATTTTTTTTCAAAAAAGTTATTTGCACGAAAGGTATTTTGGACAAGATATTTTTTGCTCTTTGATTCACTTCATTGGCTGCTAGGATGATTCAAGTGGGCAATTGGAATTTATTTCATAGATTAATTGAAATGGCTTCTTTTTCCACTATCTAAGCTCAGACTTCACTGAAAAGCCAATATACTCAAAATTTTTTTGGGTTTTATCATTCCTGATTATATTTATCTTTGATTATCTCTTATTTCCAAATATTTAGAAGAGTGAAAAGAATGAAATGATATTTAGTCTGAAATTATATTTTTATTTTAGCACTCGATGTCCACTTTGAAAGTCAGTGCATACCAACTTGGATTGCATATTACGCTCATCAAACTCAAAAATGGTTGCGCCACTTAGCTGTTGCAATCACTTTTTATATATTAATTATTTTACCACCAATGTTTTTCCTTCCTCTAAAAACGCTTCGAACATACGCATTTTTTCCACAAGTTCTTTTATTTTTTAAAATATAAATAAACTTTTATTTTGTTGAAATTGTTTTTCTTTTATTTTTATCAAATTGATTATATCAGTTGTTATTAATTATTCACTAATCAATGATCATTTTATTTTGTAAAAATTTTAATTATTATTTACATTTTTTAGATTCTTTTAATGGTACTAATAATGCTAACAGGCAATTACAATTTTTTCAATATAATTTGCGCCTTGCTTTGTCTGCCAATATTAGTTTCATCGAATGAATATAATTTTTGTAAGTTTTTTATTTTTATAAATTCTTTTGTAAATTTTCTATTTAGCTCATTTAATAGAACAAATTTCTTCCCTTTATTACCCTTTATTAGAAATAAACATGAAAAATTTAAAAATGAAATCGTTTGGCTAATTATAGTCTTACTCTAAAGCCTAAAGCTATGTCACAATTTCTCCTAAGATTATTTTCTCCTAAGATCTTTCCCAAGTGATAACTGCCTGACGAAATTATTCTAGTATATGGAGACAAAAAAATGGTACTAGAAAAAGAATCTCCAAATGCTGAATGTATCAAAGTCTGTCATGAACTTATCCTAAGATTGCTTTCTTTTGCTCTCTCTCTCATGCTTATCCGTTATTTTCATTTTTCATGTTCTATTATTATTCTATTATTTTTTATTATTTTTATCAGTTTTTACAGTTTTTCCGTGAAATTTTCAGCTACAAACACTATCTTAAGACATTCGATATTTTCAAATTTAGCGGCTTTTATCTCTGTATTAACAATTCTTTTTTCTCTTTTATGTTTTATAAAATATTTCGGAATTTCTTTTAATGGTTTTACTCTCGACAGTCAAATTCGTATGTTTTTATTTTTTTTTTATTCATTCATTTTTGAAAGTTAATTCTTAAACTTATATTAAACTTTGTCTTAAACTCATGTATAATATTTTATTTATTTTATGTTATATAGGAATTCAAAGGAAAAACGACGACTTTTTATTAATTTTTACTTTTATTAATTTATTTCCAGGTTTTTCAAAAGAAGATTTCGATGTTTTTGTTGACAAATCGGTGTACTATTTATTACATGTTGGCATAATTGCATTCGTGTTTGAAATTTGCAGTGCAGTGATCAGGTTTACTTTTTAAATCGTTTTTTAAAAGAAAAAGGGGAAAGAAAGATTTCGTTTTAAATGAACAAAAATAAGCAAACAAAATGAACAAAAATATGTTTCAGATTGTTTTCTGAAAATAATCTTTATCGTTTCCGATCATTCTTGCATCTTCTTTTTGTTGTTACTTTTGGTACTTTGCTATTTTCAATCAGCCTAGTAAATTTTTTTAATTTATGCAGAAAAATTTTTGTTTTTTGTATTTTTTCTCACTTTTATTTTTTAATAGGGAATTATATTAAAATTATATTGCTATTGAGAATATCTACATTTTCAGGTTCCATTCGCATCAATAAGTAAATCAGCAAAGTCTGCAATCCCAAGCAAAATAGTTCATCTACATGATTCACTGAATTATTTGCAGTTAACTCATGCTTATGGACTATTCAGAAGGTTTTATTCGAGATTTTTGTTTGAAATTTTTGCTTTGTTTCTTTATAAACATTTGGTACGATTGTACTTAAAGAGGTGTGGTCACAATCTCAAACTGCAGCGATATTGGAAACCAGTTCTTTTTAATTTTGTCATTCCTTGGATCTTAATTAATTTTATGTGAAGCTTTAACAAGCTTTATTATATCTCTTAATATTCCGACATATCTCACTATACTTTTTCGCTATAACGAAACAGTTCTTTTTCTTCTGACAGTGCACATCATTGGTTAGCTAACTACTATGAAGCACTATTACTGCGCAAACTACTATGAAGAGGCATTAGCACTATTACTACTATTACTGCGCAAACTACTATGAAGAAGCATTTTCAAACCCAATACCATACAAAAAAGACAAATGCCATAACAGAGGTTCATTTCATTTTTTTCACCGTCTATGAACCTTTTGATTGGGTCTTTTCTTTAACACCATCCATTTGGCAAGACTTGTTTGCACCAATTTTTGTGATGGTTGGCGAATACAATTGAATAGTTAAAATCATGTTATATTAATGTTGATGTATTTATGCAGGTTATAGTCCAGCGAAGTGTGGAATATAGTCATGTAAGATTTCGTCAATTCTTTGAATTACTCCATAGGCAAGTGTGATAAAGGATATACGCTTCTTTATATCATGTATCTTCCACTGTTATTGGATGTTTCATACAATGATACACTGAGCTGTGCAGCTAGATGATACAACTTTTTTGATGTTACTGGTTTCATAGCGTGGAAGAAAATATTTTTAGTTGTTTAATATTGTAAATATTTTTAGTTCAAAATCAAAATTGGAATTTCGTCTACTGCTTGGTCGTTCGAGTTGTTAGAGTAGATCCAAGGTTTTTCAACTGATGATGTATTTGCCAATTTAATGAATCCTTATCGGATATAGAATACTTCTCCGTCCACTCAGTAATTAAATTAACAATAATAGGAGCTAGAATTATTAGGCTTATTTTAATTTATATATAATTTATAATTTATTTTTATTTATTTTAAATTAATTATATTAAATTTAATTATTAAATTTATTTTAATTTATTTTATAAATTATAAATAAAACCAAAATTTTGTTTATTCTTATATTTATTGAATGTTTTTATTATTTTTATGGAGTGAATATTCACTTAATTTTGCTATTGAATAATACTATTCGACAACAGTACTTTTTTCCGAGAGTGGATTTGATGGATTTATCGTTTTTCTAGTTATTAATTGATTTTAATATGAGTTTGATTCCTTAAATTTTTTAGTATGACAGGAGCACATGGTCGGCCCGAAGTGATTATCGAAGGATCCTATGATGCTGAAGGGCCATGGATTCCATTTCATTTTTATGCTAAGCCTGGCAGACTGGATGAGATGCCTCGATTTATAAGTCTGTTTTTAAAATTTCAAGATTTCCTTAGAAAAGAATTTTATAAAAGCATCTTAAAAGTTAAAAACTAACTGGTCACCATTTTATACTGATTTTATTGAGAAAATGATCGCAGAGAATCAATTAAAAATAGTTTCAGATGAATCACCAGATTTATTTAGATTCGCTGGCAAGGCTAGTGCCGAACCATGAAAATATTCTATATTTATTCGTCCACATCCCCTAGCGCTCTCTTCATATTGATAATTAGTTCGATTCATTATTTAGTTTATAAAAGTTTTAATTTCATATAGTTTGCAGTTCCACACCAGCCTCGTCTAGATTGGCAAATGTGGTTTGCTGCTCTCGGCGCATATCAACAAAATCCTTTCTTCATTTCTCTTATTTATCATTTGCTACGTAATAATACGGATGGTAACTTTTCATTTTATTTTCATCATTTTCAGTTTTTATGAATTTATATTAACAAAATGCCTTGAAGCCCGATGAAATCAACCAAACAAGAGAGAAACAAGAAAAAGGAGAAAAAAATTGCTTAGCTAATGTTCATCTATTTCAGTCACTTATTTGATGAAAAAATATCCGTTTGAACGAAAACTGCCAACATTGATTCGCGCACAACTTTATTTTTATCATTATACAAAACCAAATCACAGGTTTATCAGTTTTCTGTTCACCATATTTTATAGTCATATTGTTGTTATTATTTATTCATCTTATGAAAAAAAAATGAAATTGCACGGATTAAAAAATAATATATTAATTAAATGATAAATATATGAATAATCCTACTATATTTAACAGAGGTGAATGGCCAAAAAATTATTGGATGCGGAATTTTCAAGAAGAATATATGCCTCCCATTACAATGGATCACCCAGGAGTTCTAAGTTATCTGCAACAAAATGGATTTGTTCTTAAAGTTATTTTTAATTGAATATTTTACATATAATATTAAGCTTTGATTTAAAAAAATAATTTTTTAAACTTTTTTTTCTATTTTTGAAAAAAATAGTTGAACTGCATTTTTAAAAGCCAGAAATTAGTTTGTGATAGCAGTGAAGAAACATTAAAGAGGTACTGGCTCGAATCAGTAAATTATAGTCGATGCCTTATGAAGTAACGTTGAAATAATGTAATGTATTGCAGGAAAAATTTTCGTTGGTCAATCAAAACCATAAAATGGAAAAAACTTTGGATATAATTCATGATTTTGTGAAAACATGTGATCCAGCAAGATTAATTCATACTGTGCTGTTGGCTCATTTTCTTATATTAATTACCACTTCTTTTTTTCATTAATCACCTTTTATCATATTTATTGAACGTTTTTATTATTTCTATGTAGTGAATATTCACTTAATTTTGCATAATGTTTATGCTATTAGGCAGCAATACTTTTTCCGAGAGTGGCTTGATGGATTTATGGATTCTTTCTACTTTTCATTATATTTGTTTTTCTTCTTCTAATGCTATTCACCATCTTTGGTTTGGATGGCTCCACTGATTACCAGATTAAATAGGAGAACCGCCTAAATTATTTCTTCTTAAATCTGTTTTTTTACCTCACTTTCAACAAAGAGCCCTTACTAATACTCTACTCCATTCTCCATTCAAATGTCCTTTTTTTTTTTTATTCACCTTAATGAATTTTTTTATTTAGTGGAAAGTTTGTTCTATTATTCTATAATTTATTATTTATTATTATGTTTCGAAAGCGTTTCGAAAGAATTGTTGAAATGCTTTAGCTATGAAATGCTTTTTTAATAGGACAACAAATGAAATAAAAACGATTATGAAGTGAAATTTGCATTATATTTCGTTGGAATTCTTCGAAAACTCTCGGTTATATTCACATAAATTTCACGTCGAACTCCGTTTATTCTATTTAAATCGCCTCAAATTTGTAATAAATACTAATATAATATATAATTTAACATAATTTTTATAAGTTTGGGAAATGGTCTTATCGAAAGAGAATAAAGTAAGCAGATGGTATTTTGGTGGATTAGCGTCAGCTGGAGCAGCGTGTTGCACTCATCCGCTCGATCTTCTTAAGGTTGACTTTATGAAAATAAAAATTTAAGCCTATTTATAAGAAATTATTGGTTGGATTATTTGTTTTCTATAAATTTGTAAGTTGGTAATTGAAGGTGCATTTGCAAACGCAACAACAAGGAAAAGTCACTGTTGGTCAAATGGTGGTGAAAATCTTTAAGAGCGATGGTGTGCGTGGCTTTTATAATGGTATTTCTGCATCACTTTTGCGCCAGGTGATTTCTAATTAATATAATAGCTTCTAAGGCTGAAAAACAAAAAAAAACCAAGGTCGCGTCTCTTTTTTTTCTATTTTCTATTCGGGAATTTGGGTCGAGATAATTTCTGTCGGTAAATAAATTTTCCATCTATAAAAATGGAGTTTGTTCTTATGTATCCCTCGTGGATCCCTCTATATATTTGTCCACAAAGTCCGATTTTTCTTTTCTTATACTCACGATACTTCAGCCATCTAGAATTAGTTTTTTAAATAATCCTAGTTATGTAAATTTCGTTACAAATACTGTTTTAGCTAACTTATTCAACTACAAGATTTGGCATGTATGAAACATTAAAGAAACAATTTCCTGGTGGTAACTTTTTAACTTTACCTCTGTGCCATATTTTATTAAAATTATACTCATAGTATTTAGTATTTTGAGCAAAAGTCTTTTGTCAGATTCAACGAGTATTCCATTTTACCAAAAAGCATTCTTGGCTGGTGTCAGTGGAGCTTGTGGTGGTTTTGTTGGTACTCCTGGTGATATGGTTAATGTACGAATGCAAAACGATATGAAGGTGCGATAAAAAAATTTGGTTAATTTCTATATTTTTTTGCACCATTTAAAGATTGGTTTTTCATTTATCATTTACTATTATTCTTATTTACTTTTTTATTTTTTATAATTGTTTATTTTGCTCGATTATAGTTGCCAGCTTCGGAACGACGTAATTACAAGCATGCTTTGGATGGTGTTCTCCGGGTTACGCGTGAAGAAGGGATTAATAAATTATTCAACGGTGCTACTATGGCAACATGCCGTGCTGTTCTCATGACTATCGGGCAATTATCATTCTATGATCAAATTAAACAATCGTTGATAGCTAGCGGTTATATGTCTGACAATCTCACTACACACTTCACTTCTTCATTTCTCGCAGTAATTATATCTTATTAGTTTGGGAATGAATTTTTTCAAAACTAGGGAAAATCTGGATATCTCACTGAATCCTGGAAATTTCATTATTCTTTTTGTGGTTTCATATTGATATCGTTATAATAGGACTGTTTCAAGCAAAAATATGTCCTACGTTATGGGTGTATATATGAGTCAGATTTATGAACTTCAATAATATATAGGCTTCCATTGCCACTGTACTTACTCAGCCACTCGATGTTATGAAAACAAGGATGATGAATGCTCCTCCTGGCCAGTTTAAGGTTCTCTTTTATCATATTATCGTTTTATATTATTAAAATTATATATTATTTTGAATTATGGGCGAATCAACCACTTTTTATAAATTTTTTATAATTTTTTTATTTTTCAAAAGGATATTGGGATATTGTTACCTTCGTTGGTTAGGGTTCTTCGTCTTCCACCACAGATACTAACATATATTTCGCTACTTGCTTAACCTTGTGATGAATGACGTTAAAAGCGAGGGCGATCAGTCAAGACTTGGACCGTTAGAAAAGATTTTGAATGTGTAGAAGGACCATCTATATATGGAACTTAGACGATGGAAAAAGGAGTGGCTTATATTATTATTATATTATATTATTGCCAACGAAGGCATCGGACCGAACAAGTTGGCGACGTCTTATCTCTAAAACCAGCCGAGCCAGCTTAATCAGTAATAGTGAGAGCTGTTAGAAGAAAATGATATTGGTGAAGGTGGAGATTTAGCAAAAACGAGAATCTCACTGTTATACTTACCGTGCATCACATGGTGCTTGTTTAAATATTCATTACGTATTTATTTAACTTTTTGTAGGGTATTATGGACTGCTTTTTGTATACAGCTAAACTGGGACCTGCTGGATTTTTCAAGGTATGGTTACTTGTAAATTTTATAACTTGTTCAAATTTAATCTGAAAATTGTTCTTACCATTTACAAAAAATTTTTTTCAGGGCTTCATGCCAGCTTGGGTTCGGTTGGCTCCACATACTGTCCTTACTTTTATTTTCTTCGAGCAATTAAGAATGAATTTCGGATATTTCAAAGAAAATAAATAAGATTAGCGCCATTTAGCATCTGAATTTAAATTTATTGATAATTTAGGTTATTTTTTCTTAGGTATATTTCTGATTTTTTTATTTTCTTCTGGTACTGCATTATATTTTAAAAATTTATATTGTAATTTTTCCTTAAATTTGATAAATCGCTGTTAATTTTTAATTAATTAGTTGTGTGGAATTCCTTTTTTTTTCAGAAGTTAATTTCAGTTATGTTAATAGGTCTTTTTTTTGCGATTTTTTATTAATTATTACAGAATATAATGAATGAAAATCATTTATGGAAACTGCAGGAAATGAATGAAAATTTTTGAAAGATGAGTTTTTTATATGAATTAAAAAAAGAAAAATGACGATTTTTTGCGTTTTTTCTTTTTCACATAATTTATTTTTACAAAAGTTGAAAGAACATTTTTATGGATAACAGACAACTGGGAAGTGACTCCTTTCTTCTTATTCGTTTAGTGTTTACTTTTACTTTTACTTACTTCTTTTACCTAAGTAAATATCATTTGAAAATAACCGGAATTGAAAATTGTTTTCTATTTTATTGACATAGCGTGGAGGTATTTCATTATATAAATATATATCAAAACTTAAAACCTCAACTCTCGTTGGACACTTTTTCATTGCAATCATTTGGCGAGCAGCATGCCGCAGTTTCGATTATTTTTATTTCTATTCATCAATACATTAGGTAATAATTTTTTTTGAATTTCTTAATTAGTATTATTATTTCTTATATTAAATCAAGAGTAATAAAAATTATGGTTAAATAATTTATTGACTTAAAGGAGAAATGAAAATGAGCATATAATTTTGTATAATTTCACGCTATCGTTAATGCAGTTAATTTGTATGATAAGGTGATATAGTGGAGTGATGTTTTGCTGATAACGAGATAAATTTATTAAATACTAGTTGTTACTGTAAGCCATCATCGTCATTATTCATTCATCATATGTCAGGAAAATCTAATGTCGAAGCGATGATAATGAATAAAACTCAATACATATTAATCAATAAATAAATCTTATTCCATGATATTTTTGCATGGAAATTCAATAGTGTTTCATTCATGATGCATCAAAATATGATAAAATATGACAAAGTATGGTGTGATAAAATATGATAAAATGATTGTATGATTACTATTGAATGATAATAGAATAAATGAATGATTTTGATCAAATAAATAAAAAGGAGAAAATTTCTTTTCCTCTTTAAGAATTTTATAAAGTAAAGTATAAGTGAAGTAAGGTGTTTCTTTCTTTAAATCATTTCAAAACAACTTAAGATTCAAAAAAAAAAACAAAATCTGTCGGCAAAAACTATCAGCGCTATTTTATTCGAAAATAAATTTTTATTAATCTCATTCTGGCTCAGACTATGGCCCATATAATTGTACGGCGATGCTTGTGTGCCGTTGACCTGCTTATATTTTAAGCACTAACTGACTCTCTGGTAAATTTCTAAACATGATTTTAGTGATAGCCGGCGGAGTTCGCTTGAAATTAACTAACCTTATGCTGTTTGCTGAGAGAAGAAGAATTTCAATAAGCTCATATTTTAATAGATCTGCCATAACTGAATAAACAAACAACACTTGATGTTGATTATTTAATAGCAAGAAATGATATTATGATATTATCAATTAATAGCTTAACGACATGATCAATTACCAAACTATATTCTACTATGATAATGGTGATGATAACGATAAAGTCGTTCCTCAAGGAAAACTCTAAAACTACTGCAAAAGTTAGAGAGTAAAAGTTAGAGCTAAAGTGCTTTGTATTTTTACCAGTGAAATTTCAGTGAAATCTCAGTATACGAATCAAAATACCAAGGCTCCATATTATGTTTATGGTGGTTCTGGCTACAATAATCCAAATTTTTATTCGCCATATAACAATCCTTCAGCCAATTTAGCCAATAATTTACCGTATTACTACGGGAGCGGTCGATCTAATGGACAATATAATCAGGGTAACTATCCCTATTATCCACACTACAATACCAGTCCAACTTTGAACAACATAATCACTCGTTACTATCCAGCGAACAATCCTTCTACGAATCAAAATGTTCAAACATCACAGCAACAAGGTTTGGCGTCGATGGATTCTACAACATATACGACGATGTCTCCAAATTCTGTGATAGGTTTATCAAGTGGCACTAATCAACCGTGGATAAATAACGAATATCAACAGCCTTCATTCTACGATTCTCAAAATGATCAGGTTTCTTTTCCTCTAAAATTGCCGTTTATTGCTCGATTGGCGATTTAATTTCAGTCTAAACTGGCAGAGTTCAAAGCAAAGCTATTTGTTCTACTACTTTTCCACCACTTAATTAATAAGATTACTGCCTCCCATGATTTTACCATTTTCTTGTTGCTAAACGAAAAATTATAAAAAAATTTTTGGTTTTTCTTTAAAAAATGTCTTTTTTCTTTTGCTTTCTTTCATTATTATTCTGAAAAGGACAAACCAAACCTAATTTAAGGAATTGAACTGTGAAATGGATTTGCAAAAAAAGGTTAGTCTATGCGGTCAGGAATTAATTTCGTATAATATGGTCTACGAAACACCAAACATTGAGCAGTTCGTACCGATTCCATTCAAATTCCAATCTCGCGACAGTTTGGCATTGCTCTGCAGGTGCATCTCTCTATCGCAAATTTCTAAACTTTTTTTTTCATTGTTTCATGATTATTTTCATGAAAATCGAGCCAACTTCGCTGCTATTCAAGTTAATAATATCGTATGCTTATGGTTCGATTTAAATAATACGTAAATTAAGTAATATAAACAATAAAATATGTAAAGTGAATAAGTATTATATTATAAGTAATATAAATAATAATATAGTAATATAATATTATTTATAGTGTTGTTGTACTACAAACATCAAATCACTTATGTGAGCATTCTTTTTTCGAGAAAATATTTATTTCTCTAAAAAATAATTCACCGATAAGATTATTTTTAAGAAAAATTCTATTACTCTATTATAGTGAAAATAATTTAATAAAATAATTTATAATTTATTACTAATTTATTGATATATTTAAAAATAAGTTTTTATAAAATTTTTTGCATATTCAACCCAAAAATATAAATTTTCTCAACGAAATAAATCGAAATAATCGAAATAAATCATTTAATAATGCTTTCGTAAATTAGGCAAAGAGATTTTTTCGATGTATTAAATTGCTAAATTCATCGATGCATGCAATTCATTGAATTTGTACCGAAATTTATGTTCCATAATTGCAAAGCACCAAGGCACCGCATTTATTCGAAGCTATAAAACTATTTTCGTAAATATAGTTCCATACTATTGTATGAAAATGTAATATGAAAAGCTTTTATCCCTTCGATAAATTGTTTTCTTTTTAGCTCACATTTACGTTTCCGTCAATGCGTCGCTGGTGACACCGGTATTGGCGCTGATTTTACTCGAAATCCATGTTTCTTGTACGGGAAAATTAGTGGTCCATTCGCCGTGGCGGATACTTTATTGAATTATACTTGCGGGCGAGGATACGATAGTAATTTTTACCGTCTTTTAAATTAGCGTCCAACTTTTCGATAAAAACTTTTCCCATCTTCCAATCGAATGCTCCTCTATTTTTGAATTTCGAAATGAATTTCAAAATTTTTTCTTAAATTATTTTTTCATAAAAACACAAACTATAATTTCATTTCTTTTCTTAAAAACTGCTTTTAGTTGAAATAATTATTAAATGAAATGAATAATATTTTCAGCAACGTACATTAACTGGGACTGCTACCAGTCAGTGAAATCCAACCCTCAGTTGATGCAATGCCAAGCGGCAACTCAGTTCGTCAGTAATGCTGCAGCGAATGGCTTTGCTGCAAGTCAAACTGCTATTTGCAGGTTATTTCGCTAATTAAATTTAAATTTTGCAAATTTTTCTTATTTAAATTTTATTGTGGATGTAATATGAGCTGCAATTATAAGTTTAAAAAGAAATTAACATTTGTTTGTTTATTATTAATTATTATTTATTATTATTTTTTTATTAATATTAATATTATTGTTATTCGTTACCATTAATTAATTAATTAATTCAATGTTTATTTATTATTATTTTCTAAAATATTTAGATAAATTAAATTTATTTAAAACTGAAAGAATATTGCGAAGAAAATTTTAGTTTGTATAATATTATCAATCGTAAATTGTAAAATTAGATTTTTTACTTAAATGATTTTATTTTAATGCGTTATAATACAGTAATAATAATAATAATAATAATAATAATAATAATAATAATATCGACAATAATTGTAATGATAAATAATAATAATAATGAAGCAAAACTATTTTCGTAAAAAAAAACATTTTTATTTTCTTATTTTATGAAATATTAATAAGATAAATAATAAAATTATATGAAATTCTTTAAATATTTTAATAAGCAACAATAAATAAAATGAATTTTCATATTTATAATTCTCGCTAATAATTTTGACAAACAATAAACTAGATTTTTGTTTATAAATTTTATAAAAAAATTTCTTTACTTACGATTTAATCAATTTTGATGGTAAATGATTAATGAAAAGTACACTATCACTCGAAATTATTTTCAGTTCAATTCAAAGATATTTTGATTGTATAAAAGCACCGATAAGGAGTTTTTGCGGTAATCAAGCATTTGAAAATGTTGCTCAAGTAATTTTTTCATATAATTATAACTCGAAATGCATCAAAAAACCCAGTATTTTTTGCAATCTCTTAAAAACATAATGAATTGGTTTTTAAACTTAATAAATTTTTATCAATCAGCAACTGATAACAAAAAAATAATGAAAAATTTTAAAATATAAACGAAAGTCAAGTCAATAAATACTAAAATTTTAGGGAATTGGGCAAGCGGTGCTCATTCGAAATCCACAATGCTCTCTTCTTATATCTCAAGCTGTTATGCCGAATTCGCCAATATTTTTGTTATCATTCGCTACTTTTCTTACAATGATAATATTTAAATGAATTTTTCTTTTTGATAAAAAAATTCTCCATTTATTCAATGTTGATTCGAAGAAATCAACCATCAAATAATATGGATTTCTATTAATATAAAGAAGGTGTTTAGTGATCTTCTGTCTCTAAAACGTCTCTCCGTCAAACAACCCATTAGCCAGGTTAGCCACTGCAATGAATCTATTAAGACTTGAAGACAATGAGTTTTACGAATGAATATTGTGGGCATTTTCTGGACATTCCAGCATGTTTCTAGTTCACCTTCATTGTTTCTATTTCAAATATGGTTCATTCGCTTCACATCTGAACATCTGTAAAATATATAAACTGATTCATTCCCATTCATGAGCGTTCCACTTTGCAATGTTTTTATTTAATGTTATATTTCATAAATATAAACTCAGCACTACTATATATTATTAGGAGACACATGGGATGTACCAAGACATTTTATCGCCGTAAATCGCTGCAAATCTGCGAAAGAAATTGAAACGAGATTTCGGAAGAGAACTGACATGCATCATGGCTTCATTCTTTCGCCCACAACATTAACTATGCGATAAGCCAGATTGTGGACCATTTGCCAGCATTGTCGTGCAAATCAATCCAGAACAATTACGACCACGAATCCCGAATATGGTTGCCTCTATTTTTCGCTAACTATGAACTACAACGAGCGTTAGACAGAAACAGCTGTAGCGTGGAAAATTGATTCCCAAATCAGTGTGAATAAGTCTAAACTATTACCTTCTTATGTAATACGCCAGACATTCGTTTCAAACATCCCCTCACATCACCCTCAATTACTTCTGGTCGAGCGAAGAATTAAATCATAGCCACAGCCATCGAAATGCTTACTTCCATTAGGAGAAGAAATGATGAAAAATTATATCATATAAAAATTATGAAAATTCATTCATCGAAAGCGAAGTTCATATCCCATATCCACTTCACTGCATACAAACTTAACATATCCTAAGGTTCATGTTTATATAAAGCGTTGAATGATATCGTATTGCAGACATTATATGAAACAGATGAGCGATAGACTCATTCAAACTTCCATTATAATTTCCGCTTGATTGTGGATTAATAAGCGGATTTTTCTCTAATAAGAAACTCTAATTCATTTGAACAACATAAATTTAAATTTTAAACGCTAAACGCTTGAAAAATAAAAAAATAATTTAATAAATAAATGGCTCATTTGGTGTGAAACAATTATTAAAGTATAAATGAAGGTGAAAATTAATCGAAAATTGCATATATTTGCTTATTTATAATGATGGAAAGATAAAATAGATAAAATAAAGAATCAATGTTAATTTTTTGAAGCTAATTTAATTTATATGCTTAAATTAAATGTATATTTGAAATTAATGAATAATAATCGCTAATCAAATCAAAGCAATAAGCTGATGCAATATCGATAAAAACATTCATTTCTACATAGAAGCTTTCATCTCAGCCCATGATAAAAGATTTCCCCACTATTAAGCAGCATATAATTAACAAAAGCAATCAAATATTTCTACGAATGCACATTGGAAATAGCAAAATTGGAAAAATATGGAAACTATTGCCATTGTTTCACGAAAGGATTTCAAAATTAGAACGAAAATTCACATAAATTTTAAGTTTAAAAAAAAATAACCATTTTATACAACTAAAATTATGTATCTACAAAATCTACGAAGTGATAAAAATTTTTTAAAAATTCGCATAAGGCACTACTAGGAACCTCCGACTTTAGAATAAATACGACGAAAAATATCACCGAGACGAGAAGTTTCATCTAGTTGTTCTTTATATTTGTTAACCAAATGTTTGACTAATTCTTTAAGTTCTATAAGACGAGCATTTAGTAATGCCTTCTCAGCTTCTAGTCGAATAATTTGTCTGCGAAAATTTCCAACAAGCATTGATCCGCAAAAATTATGCGCAAAATTTTTTGTGTTAAACTGTCGCATTTCTGAATTTTCGCTTCCGCCTAGCATACAATCATACTTCCGATACATTGTGCCACTTCCTGATAGACATAAACGCAATTCGATTATTTTGACTCGTAAGAGTTCAAGCCGACTTTTCAATGTCTTATTTTCCGTCTTAATTAATGAAACTTCCTAAAAATTGGTATATTTAAATATTTTTCCATCGTATTGCATAAATATTTAAGAAATATATAGAATATTTATTAAGAAATGCTAAAAAAGAAGTAAAAATGATATTTGGAAATGGTTTTACCTCATTGATACCTTCGATACTCGAATCAATGTCTTCAAAACCGCTTTCGATAACAATATTTTCGTTACTAATTACTGACAAAAGTTCTTTCAACCTTTTATCTATTAATTCACACCTATTACATTTTTGAGGCAAAGGAGATTGCTTCAGCTAAAAACGAACTAAAATCAAAATTAGATAGATTTTGTTAAAAATAAATTCAACTGAATAGTTTGAAAAATGTATTTATGAAATGAACTAAAAAAATAAAAAAAAAGAAAAATCCGTAAGTTCGCAACCTTGTCAAAAAATATAGGTAAAGAAGAATGACTTGAAGCTTTTTCAATACTATTTGATGAACGTTTTTCTATGAAATGATGCTTATTAGTTGGCGCAATAGCGCTTTTCCTGAAAACAAACCTTATCAAAAATTCTTAGAATAAATAAATAACTTTTGGATGTCTAACAAATGATTAATATAAAGTATATAAAAATCTTTTCTGAAAAAACTTTTCATTTCTAAGCAGTTCGAACTATTTCTGGTTTGGCTGGCCTCACTGCTAAATCCGAGCTTTTTCGCTAGATAATCGTTGGAGGTTAAGTGCAAATGTGCCACTCGAAGGAAGCAAATGACCGAAATCACAAAAAATGTTGATTTAAAAAATAAATTTACAAGAGTAAACCGATATTTCTCAATAAGTAAGACGAATGCAGATGTTGAAGGAACTGCATTGTCTGAAACAGAACAATCTTGAGGTTTTCGATTCAAATATCTTCCATCACAATTTGTGAATTTTGCATTATGTGAATCCATTTTTTTACTACTCAATTCGTTTGGCAATTCCGCAAACTGAAATAATAACTGCAAAAATAAATACTTAAAAAATTTTACGTAACATGCACTACGAATGAATGACAAAAACAACATTAAATTTATAAATACAAACATAAGTTCAAAACGACAGAAAAAAAAACAAAAAACAAACGTTCTGCATTCAATAAAAAAAAGAAAAAGAAATGTTTATTTCAAGAAATATCTGAATGTTTATTTCACAAAAATTTATTTCATGCAAAGATTACAATATTCGCAATATCACTGAATTATTGAGGAAAACTAACAAATAACTCACAAGAGCGATTAAAATTATCGTAAAATATACTTCATTTTGGTTCTTATACAAGTAAGAATCATCCGAAACGCAAGGTGATATTAATGCTTTCAGTCGATTCAACTCCAAGTCGAATTCTTCCTACAAAAAACTTGATTGATTTACAAAAATGAATCTCTAATAGGTTCCCTAAGAGTAGCTAATAGGTTACTCAATAATAAGAATAAAATAATAACGGTGATATAACAATAAAAAAGAGTAGTAATTTTAAAAATTAACAATGATAATAAAATAAAAATAATAAAATAACAGAAACAATAAATAATAATAAGAATGATAATAATGGCAAAATCAATTTTATTATTTAAATAAATGAATGAGATTATATGAGATTCTTTTATTGTCTTCATGTTTATATTAAAAAAATATTAACAAATAATAATTAAGCAATAAAACAACGATAATAAAAAATAATAAAAAACAATCAAAAATGGTAATATTATTTAAATAAATGAATTTTTACAAATACGAGATATCTTTCTTTTTCTGGACTTTTAACATAAAAAGGCTGGAAAATTTGCTTTATCACATTCCATTAAAAAAAAAAATACAATTTAAATAATAAATTACCTGCAAACGATTAATTAATTTCATTTTTTCTTCAGCGAATTTCCTTTCTAATGCATTACGCTCACTTGCCAATCTGACATCGAATTGCCAACGTTCTTTTTCAAAACTTCAATGGATATGCAAAAATTAATAAAAATTTAATAAAAATTAGCAGTAATCAAAATAGTGAATTCGCCAATTTTAATGAGGCGGATAAAGAAGAAAAGATAAAATTATTATTGTTCATTAATAAAATCTATAAAAATATAAATGCAACAATTACCTTTGAGTTATTTGCCTCTGTTGATCATTTAAAGCATCAGAAAGTGCTTTATTAGCAGATAGCTTTAAAGCAGAAATTTCTCTTCGATGTTCGTCCTTTAACCTTTTTAATTCTTCATGCTTTTTTTCTAGTAAAGATACCAAATTCCTTTCCGACGTTGAGTTTCGAACTAATGAGTTCACCGTTTCTTCACTCGAGGTTCCTTCCACAGCTAAATTCGACGTAATTATTCGAATTAAATTACAGTACAATAGAATTTAATAAAGTATCAATTATATCAATTTTATAATTCCAGTCATATCTAAGACAAATTTTATCGACAGATAAAATTTTATATGATTATCAAACTTCATTCAAATACCATCTATATTAACATATGATGATAGAGCGCCACCTACGCATTTATGTTCATCGCTGATGCATATTTCGTTACTACGGCTGACAGCAAGGCTAAAAACGAAGATAACCAGCCAAGACTTGGACAAAATAGAAGAGAATTTGAATAAACTACATTTAGTAGACTAAATTTGGTCCCACTATTGATGAGTTTATATGGTATGAAAAAAAATGATTTTTGTCAGGTGTAGCAAAGAGTCGAGCCCACTTGGAAACCCTTGTCGCTATAGGAAGCAGAATCAGTCAGCAATGGTAAGAACAATCTCTGCAAGTGCACATAAAAATACTATTCGTAAAATACTACTTCATCGTATTTGTTCGTGATAATTTTTATAACATATTTATTCGCTATTTTAAGCGAGCTGCCTAAGTAAATAGCAATAACAAATAAAAAACCTATTTTATTAGCATTCACTGACTGCTCTATCCTTTGATGTATACGCATTCGCTCTCGAACTTTCAATAAACGCCTTCTTCTTACACGAATAAAAATTGATTCTGGTTCACTTTCCATTTCTGAAATAAAATTCATTATACTAATAAATTTCATAGAAAATTCATTATACTAATAAACTTCATAAAAATAAATTAAATAAAAGTAAAGAAACAAATAAATTTGCTATGAATTTATTTACCAGACAGTGAATTATTGCGTTCGATGCGACGTTTTCGAATGGCGAGCACTTTCAGGCGAAACGAATTTGTCCAGTGGAAATAAAGAGGATTTATTTTACGATAAAAATTATATTTCTTTTTACTGCTCGCCATTTCATCTATTTTATCTCTAAGTTTCTGCAATCATATGACATAAACTTGAAAAATTAAAATCTACCACTCTGAAACTACGTAATTCTTTTGCATATTTTTAATTAAAGAAATAATTTAGAAAAAAAATCACTTTATTATGTGCAAGTAGAAATTCAACTCTTCGCCGCCACATTAATATTTGAGCATTTTCATCAATTTGCCGCGGATGTAAAGCCTTGCCTAGTTCTGCACGTAATTGTCGATTGGCATGTTCCATTTTCTGCATTGATTCAGCCATTTCCTGTGCTTCTTCACCGAAACGAGCACACTGACGTTCTACCAATTGTAAGCGAGTTTTGCATGTTGATTCACTATAGCGCACCCTTGAGAGTTCTTCTTCCATCTAATATAAATTATATATTTATTTTTGAAAAAAGAAATAATAAAAATAATAATAACAACATTTTTCAACATTTTTAAGTTTTTAACATAATTATGATTACTTTTTTGCAGAAATTCAATAAAATATAAGGAAAAAACCTTAAAGAAATATCTCGTTCCAATATCTCAAATCTTAAATAAAAATATACTTCGAATATAAATTAAAGTAATAATAATAAAACTTTACAAGAAGATAACTTACACGTTCGACTTCCTTGATTAAATCTCTCTTTTCAGTAGAAAATCTTTCTTCTAACTGACTTATGCGAGCCCGATAGCGTTCTTCGCACTGCCTTAAAAATTTTTTTTCCAAATTTTTTGTCTTTAATTTTTTCTTTTCTTTTCTTTTATAGGATATTTTAAAATATTGTTGCCTCATAAAATAACGGCAAACAATATCTAATTCGGGAGAATTAGAATAAGAATAAGATATAAAATAAGAAGTGCCCAAATGTGTCATTGAATTGAATGATTGATGAGTTTTTACACATTTGACAGCTCATTGAATGAAACAACAAAAGTGTGTTAATTATTACTAATAATTTAAAAAAATAAAAAAGCAAAAATGAAGAAGAACTAGAAAATGTAATGTGAAAAAATAAGCAAGCTGAATGAAAACCTTACTTCAAAAATTTTTAATTTTTTTCTTTTTCAATTTTTTTAAATTTTTAGATCTTTTTAAATTTTTATAGCTAGTATAGAATATTGTTGTTGGAAAGAAATAGATATTTAATTCCAAAAGAAAATTTTAAGGCTTCTTTAATTTAGATTCTTTTTTAATCACTATACAGTTCCAACGATGAGGGAATAAGATACGTGATACGTATTTTCTTTTGTTTTTAAAAAAATTAATAATAAAAGGCATTATTAAATATTATATACAGCGAGGTAACGAAAAAATAAAGGGTGGAATGGCTCAGTGGGTTGTTGCTCAATTGGGAGCGCCGATGCTGAGACTTCCTGCAGGGGAAAATCTATACAAAAATCCGTGTGATGGTGGCGACTCACCTGTATTTCTATCGTCAAGGGATTCCCTGGCATATTGCTCAATGCGACAAGCCAATGGAGCAAGTTTAACCAGTAATGGTGAGGACTTTTTAAAGAAAAATGAAAAGATAACGAAGGAACTGAGGAAATAAAAGGAAAATAAATTTAAGGAGAATATAACTGCGCCTAAGATAATAATATAAAGAATTTTGGAGGATGGCATAAACAGGGCACCAACATTATAATAGAGATGATAAAAAAAATAAAAAGGAGTTTAAAGCGATAATGAGGACAAAAAAATTGAGAATTTTTGAGGAAAATAATAAAGATAAAAACGAGTTTGAAGGGTCTTAACGTAACGGACTTAATGTAGAATTGACAGGATATAGCAGCGAGATTTAACGAGGTGCTGAAAGAAAATTAGACGAAGTTACTGAATAACAACTGAACCTGTGGAATGCACCCATAATGCAGTTTTGGACCAGAAAAAAAACTTTAAATTGAATTAAATTGAATAACTGTGGTCTCGAACTAATTACAATGACCCTAAACCTTAGGAAATTGAGGAGAAACCATGTTTTTTCCGAATTCATGCACACCAATAAAAAATCAAAATGATAATGATAACAAATAATTCCTCACAATTATTTAGCTAAAAAAATTAAGCAAACCTCAAACGTTGTTCATAACTTTCTTCAACTGATGCCTGGTTTTGCTCAAGTTCTTCTATCAGTAAATTTCTTCGCTGATTTGCCAACTGAAGTTGTTTATGCAAATGATCACAACGCGATTCACCTTCTTTTGACAAATACCTTGATAATAAGATAAGATAAGTAAAGTTTGTATAATTCATACGAAAAAAAATGTAAAAACAAACCTCAAGTGATCAATATAGGCATGGAGTGAAAGAAGAGCGACACGAATGAGATTAGAAGCCGATGAAGATATGGCCACATCACTCAATTCTCTTTCTAGCTTTCCACTTAAGGAAATAGTGTTGATCGATCCATGTAGTGGCAAACCCGTTTCCTAAAACTGTTTAATTTCCCTCACAATTTTTTCTTTCTTTTTCTTTTAGCCACAAAAGAAACGATAAAAAAACCTTTAAAGCGGCCAAGCTTTGCTCGATGTTTATACCACATGTAGCCCAATGTTCTACCAATTGTTGGACATCAACGATTCTGAAAATTTATAATTTATTTAAAAAAACAAAAAAAACTTCTTTGCGGAAGTTAAAAGTAATTAAAAAAAATCTAACTATTTGAGAAGCAAAATTACTTTGAAAAAATATGAATATACCAAATAACCAATGTTTAAAACTAAAGTTAATTTTGGTTGAGAAAATAAACCGTAAAAACTTCTTATTCCTCCTCATTTTAAACAATCATTTTAGAAACAATTAGAACTATTTCGTTGAATCTTTCCCTTCTTAATTAATTTAGAAAAAATATAAGAAAAACCTGAAACCTTAACGTTGCTTAGTTAATTTTAGGGTTCCAAACAAAAGAAAAACATCTCAGCGTAACTAGTATTTCATTTTTAACGACGAGTTTAATCAAATCAAGAGACAAATCGAATGCATGTTAAATGAAGCAATAATGCCCTTTTTTTATATATTATAAAGAAAAGTCAAACCCCGTATTGTTCGTGTCAATTGCTTCAAATAAATTCACCGATGGGGCAAAGGTTTCGGCAATAAAATTCACTTCATCATTAAGCTGCTTTTGAATTTGATATTGATTAAGAAACTGATTTATTGTTATGCGACCTGCATGCTTCGAATCAGCACGACCAAACAAATCATTTATATCGACTGTATTCAACCTAAATTTCTATTTACCATTTGTGATAATATCAATGAAAGTTTGAGCGTTTGATTTTTGCTAAAAGACTGTATTTAACTTCTGTTTCTAATAGTTGGGTTATTTTTTTATTTTTTTTCCATTTCTTTTTTTCTTACCACTTTTTGAATTCATTCCGCTGGAACGTTAGACCAATGAGTATCTTGGCATGTCTATAGAAGTAAGTCACGAGCTATGCATCAGGAAAGATGTTTACTCCTGCCGAGTATTAGAACCTTAGCGTCAGCGCCCCGATCTCCGCTATTCTACTCCACAGCTTCTGTTAAGAGAAAATATAGCTTAAAAAAACATAACTAATTTAATTATGAAAAGAAATGGAATTAAAAGAACCTATTAAGTTGTGGCGTATTTTCGCATATCAATCGAATATCATATTGATTTAAAAACGAATGTAAATTGAAACCAAGTTGAGATAACGTTTTTTCAATTTCTTTCTGCAACTTTATATCTATTGAATCAAAATTAACGATTTCCGGCAATAAACGCACAAAACGTTCTTTGAATGTCTGAAAATTAATAAAATTATTTGAAAAACTGATTAAAAATTACAATCAATTTCTGTGCTTTCAATTTTGGTAATAAAAATAAAAGAATACGAAAAAGTATACCGGAAAATCAACAACATTGTACCCGCACAAAACCCGTTCGATTATCAAATCAATAGAAGATAATAAATTAAGCTTTTCACAAAGCGTATGGAGTCCACCTTGATCGAGATACGCTTCGCCATTATTTGCACACTCCAAGAATAGCTACAATTTACAAAGTTCGGATAACAACAAATAAATTTCCAAGTGGCTTAAACTTTCCCTCATCCAACATATAAAGTTGGAAATTTAAAATTTAAAAAATTCTACACAGTAAAAAATTTCAAATGAGAACTCTCTGAAGATTCAATCATATGTACGTCATTTATTATTCATTTGTGTTGAAAAACCAGAAAATTCAAAAGTTGAAAAGCCAGAAAAACAAAAAGCCGGAAATAGTAAATCTAAATCACTATGAATAATATAAAAAAAGATGCTCATTTATTTAATATAGTTTTCATCTTCCACCATCATTCTTTCATCTTAAAAATTTAAATTTTTAAAAATTTGACAAATTTGTTTATGGTAAATATAATACATTTATGTTACTATTACGCTGTGAGCACGGCGAAATTAGTCAAAGCTTTAGGTGACTCGTAAATGGAATATATAAGAAGTCGAAAGAAAAATATTAAGAAATGGTTTGAAACCTTGGAGAATTTCACGAGAATAACATGTGAAGAGACAAAGACGGACTCTCGAAGAGGAACAAGCATTCTGGGATGAGAAAATTATTTAAAGGGAAAAATCGAGAAGAATTAACAAAATTTAACCAATTTTGAAAAAAGTGGGTGAAGTCATATTAACATAATAACTATTAGCAAATTATTATGCACCACTAATTTGCCCATCGACGATTACAAGCTTTTAACTGAAATAATCGTGGTGATTTTAAATATTTGTAAACAATCAAACCGTAGCCAGGATTACGGATAGAGTGGCTCAGTGGGTTGTTGCTCAATTGGGAGCGCCGATGCTGAGGTTCGATTGAACGCGAGAGTAAATCTGTACAAAAATCCTGTTGGCGATGCCACCTGAATTTCTACCGCCAAGGAACTCCCTGGCTTATTGCTCAGTCGCGACAAGCCAGTGGAGCGAGTCTAACCAGTAATGGTGAGAACTGTGTATCTGGCCTGGGTTATGAGGATTACATTTATATACAAAAGAGTAATGATGATAAGGTATAAAACAAACCGCATTTAATTGTTTAATATGTACGTTGTCATTATCAATGTTAACAGTTGTCATCCGCTTGAAAAATTCATAAAAGATCTGAAATATTAAAAAAGTTTGTAGAATTGTATACGAATTGGATAATTTGTAGAGAATTTTTTGTCTATCGGCGCTTATCGCAAGCCAAGCCTTGTAATGAATGGCGTGAAAGGCTGAAAGGTGAGAGGAGGAATAAAAAGATCTAAATTGAGGCTATCGCCAGAAGGGACCACTTAAAGCGCGTCGAGCCATATATGGAAGAAAAATGAATGGATGGATGGAGTAAATTCAGACGTGGCGGTGGATAAAATTTTGGAAACGGTTCTCGTAAATGAACAAGAGAAAACCCCTTAAATAATGAAAGAATAATGAAAGAATTATTAAATTTCTATTAAGGACAAAAACAATCATATTTATTTATAGGAATATAAATCAAAAAAAACACCTTAGAAGGGAAAAATATCTTCAACATTTGACACATTTCCTTAAAAACCGGTTATATTCTTCTAACATTCTCTCAAACTCCGAACTATTACTTCGAAACTCGCAAAATCCTTGCAGAACCACCCCTTCCTCGACATCCTTAAGTCCCCGCGACGTTCAACCAATATCACCAATCACCATATGCTACCTCTTTTATAATTTATAACTTGTGGAAAAAGGTCACAGCGAGAATTGCCATAACAATCAAGCAAAATAAGACTGAATGGCTTAGGCTTGGACTTGGTCTGAGATGATTAGAGGTTTAAAATTTTATAAATAGAATACAACATAAGGGTTTTCGGAGATATCGAACTACTTCATCATAAAGAGGGAAAGAAGAATTTCGCAGGTAATCAGCTAATCAATCAGTTTCTAAATGCTTTAAAGAAGTTTTGTGGATTTCGGCAAATTAATGGAGAGATTATGAGGAGATTTATGTCTCTATTAGTGTACATCTAAGCAGAACAACGAAGTTTTCACCGCATAAGACTTAAGATTTAAGGGAAATGCGACAATGCGATTTCAAGGCATTTCAACGGCCAAAAAATTCTTACAGAGTGCGATTTAAAAAATTTAAAATTTTTAACTTGCTGCGACAAAAGAAATGACTGAATTCGGAGGGCGAGGGAAGGGGCAGAAAGGCATAATGACAGTATTTGAAACTGGAAAGAATATACAGTGATAATGGAGGAAAAAGTTTCCGAGCTTTTATTTTGATATAATAGGCCAAGCCACGACGGCAAAAATTTTCGCGTTGGAAGTCTTTTCTTTTTTATCATTATCATTTTATCACCAAAAATTCATGGTAAAATCGTGAGTTATTTCGTGACTAAGTGGTTGAAGATAAGCGGTATCGGTTCGATTCCTGATACGCTGATAAGAATGAACCTTTTATTAAAAGTGAAATCAAAGTCCACGTGCTCCTCTATTTTTAACTTACGACTTTAGTTGTAACTGCCGCAGTAATCCAAATCACAGTGGCAGCTGCTGCTAGAAAACGGATCATTAAGGAAGTGAGTGCAGCACTGGCGTGATAAGTTACGCGAAGAGCGCAAGCCTATCTTCGCTCATAAAATAATTCATCGAAGAGCAACGAATTGAAATCGGGAAATCTCGAATATAAATCAGTTATCACTCGCCGTAACCCACATTTAGCGAATTTCGGATCTGTGACCGCTGATTTATGATGTGAGTGCGAAATATATATCAGGTCGACAATTATAACGGAAATTCGCGGCGAAATTGAGCTTCAAAATTTAGAAAACTGCGAAAAACCGTCGTTAATTTATTCCCCCCCCCCCCCCAATATATTCTTTTCTACCGAATAAAATGAGATTGAAAAAAAACAAAATTTTTATTATAACGCAAATATTTAATGAGACAACACTGCTAATGCATATTTTTATCTCTCAAAAAATTTTGTTGAAAGCATTTTAGAAATATTTCGTAATTCCCAATAATAATATTAATATTATAATTTACAAAACAAACCAACGATTTTTATTTTTTATCGTTTTTCTTTGATTTTTTATTGCTAATTTTATTATTTCACCTGTTCTCTAAGAATATTTCAAAAGCCTTTTAAAAAATTAACCTATTTTTATTGTTTACTTATCACTGTTATTTTTAATTATTATTTTTTTACCATTATTCGCTATACTTATTAATATTGTTATTAATTTTAATTTATTTTTATTTAATTTTAATTTGTTATTTTTATTATTATTTTTATTTTTTATTAATATCAATATCCAACATATTAATGTTAATAACAACTGTCAACTATTTTTAATATTACCATTATAATTATTTCACTTACACTGTTATTATTATTATCTCTACTACTGTTATTATAAAAATTATTATCATTTTAATATTATTGTTATTATTGTATATATTACTGTTATTATTACTATAATTATAATTACTATAATTATTACTATAATTATCATTAATATCATTGTCACTATTTATTATTATTGTTATCACTATTAATATTATTATCACTATTATTATTAATAATGTTATTACTATTTATTGTTATTATAACTGCAGTATTAACAATATTATGCAATTAATATCAGTGTTATCACTATTATTATTAATATTATCATTTATTATGTTTATTTGCTATTATCATTATTAATATTATTAACATTTGTCATTATTTATTATTATTAATTATTAACATTTATTCCAAGTAAAAATAATGAAGAAATATCGAAAAGTAAATAAAATATGGAAATTATTAAATGTAAAAACGAATTATAATCATAATTCGCTTCAGAAAAAAATAAATAAAGCGTATCGATTTTGGATAATAGTAGAAATTCATAAAATGGAAAATAAATAAATTCATGACGAACAAAGTGATCAATAAACACTCGAATCCGTCAAATAAATTGTACGGCCGTGGTGGACAACATCTACGGCCCACGGCCCGTTGAAGCTACGACAAACCTATGAAAGATCGCCAAGGTAATCTCCAAGGACCAAGCTAATTAGCGGTTAAAAATTAATGCCGAGCTTCAATATTTCCGAGGGTGAGGTTGGCTTCCTTGTGAATGTATTCTGTGGCTAGCAGGTGACTCTAAATCGAGAATGGTCCCCATTCACCGTCCAAATGCTCCTAAGGGCCGTGAGAATTATATATATTTTCTCTGCACTTTATAAATGAAATATCAAAATCTGAATGATAGTTAATTTATTTTAAAATATTTAAATATACTGAATCCAAGTCACTCAAAGGGTCAGTCGATATGGCCAATATAGTTTCCATAACAAATCACCACAATCGCCCTCACCACCAACAATTGGGTATCCAAAAAATTCACGATCATTTATTGCGAAAGCAATCAAAAGCCGAATAAACCCGCAATAAAATGAGGTAATAAAATAAAATTAATGAATAATAAATATAAATAAAGTAAAACAAAAGTGAGTGAGATGAAGAGATGAACCGATAGTAAAGTAGACAACTGTTCACAGAATAAAAAATTATCACGATCATATCATCATATATTATCACATTATCACAATATTATGAGCGAAAATCATTGATGAAATTCTATAAAAATAAAAAAATTTCTTTTCTATTTTGACTATGACAAATTATAAAAAAAATAAGGAAGAGATAATGAAATGATAAAATCATTTATAAATTAAGAAGTTAAAAAAAAACGATAAAAGAGGGATGCATTCTAATTTTAAAGTGAATAATTTTTCTAAAAAAAAGATCGAAATATTCCAAAACGTGAACGAGAAAATATATTCCGAAAACGTTTTTGTGATAACTGTGGAGCAACCGTAAGTGAAATTTCGTCAAAATGTTGATTAGCTGCATCTTCGCTATTCATAATTTTGTTATCAGTTGAATCTAATGATGTAGTAACCTTAAAATATTGCTGATATTCATTTCTATCTATTATGAATATTCAAAAAATTCAAATTTAAAAAAATTTTTTCGGTAAAATAATATAATTTTTTCGATAGAATAATATTTATAATTGCAAAAAAGAATACCCTTCTGCGTAACCAATCACGAAATATGCCCGTTTCCACAAACCATTCAGTGAAGCTCTTAGCTGATTTCGATGAATGTGCTGATACTAACAGACGCTTAGAAGTATGGAATAATTCCGAATTACCATTTATATCAGCCATATAAGCAGAATAATAGCCGCATGATTTATAATGACCAATAAGAGAAGCAAACCAAGTAAGCATCGCCTAAAAATTTATCAAAAGAAATGATTTCGAAATATCTTTAATTCTGAGCGCGACTATATATAGCAGCTAAAATTGAATGCTAAATCCATAAAAAAAATCTGCGACAGACTTCTAATAAATTCGAAAAAAACTACGCGAAATGTGATAATCCATTTGGTTTCTGATAACCCTATGATTATAAAGATTAATATGTTAAATATAATAAAAGATATAAGAAACTCTTTGAAGGCGATCATCAGCAACAGAATTAGGCCCATTCTCTAGAGCTTCTTTAAATAAAGATATGAGAGTTAAAACAAGCTTCTTAGGGATAAGTAATTTTTGACATAAGTCGATTGCACATTTTGCTTTATAATCATGATTCTTGCTAGCAACATAGAGCCGAGATGGCTGTGGTACAAGAATTCCCCCATCGAGATCAACAATGAGAACACCTTCCTATAAAAAATAATACATAGGAATATAAAAATAAAAAAATAAGACTGAAAAAAACTTTAGTTAATAAGCATACTTTTATGCAGTCACCAACATCGATATCCATTTCTCCCACAATCAGATCTTTTAATTTATGAAGATTATTCCTAAAAAAAAAAGTTAACAAAATCAATGAAATAAATAAAAACACCAACAAAAATTAATTGTTGATCAATTATCAATAATAAATTAACAAATTAATAATTAACCAATTAAAAAAACACAAGCCAAAAAAATCAAAGGAACTAAGCACGAATTTATTTAATATTTATTTATTTTTTTCAATAAATTAAATGGTCATTAAATAAAATAAGTTAAGTGATAATAATCCAATACAAATAGGAGATCTCTGTAACTATAATGGCCCATCATGAAAATCCAGAATGAAAGACCGAATGTGAAGTTAATATTATAATATTAATTTTATAATTTAATGATATTTAAAAAATGAAAGCACATAGAAAAAGGTTGTTAACAATTGCAAATCATTAGGAAACTTTCTTTCCTAGAATTATAAAAATTGAAAAAATCCGAATTTATTTTCTCATCACCAAAAGAGGTAAATCAAATAATCTAAGGCAAAATGGACAATGAGGCCAACGTTATATCTAAAAATTGCAGATTCGAGTTTTATTAAGGTCAATTTTTGTTATCCTTCTTCAGCAAATTTCTTTCTATTTCTCTACTCGAAATAAACAAAATTTAAGATTTAAAATTCTAAAATATTTTTTTCCATTATTTCCGTTTGTTTGCTTAAAATTCGTTTTCAATAAATTGGTTTGAAGATTTTATAAAATATGGATTTTGTACATAGTTATCTTTATTTAATTACTGAATTCATAAGAAATGAATTTTAACCAAATACCTAAGAATTCCAAGTATATATGGTGTTGGAGAACTGGTAAGTTCCAATAAACTATCAGGAAGCACTGGAACCAATGTATAAGGCCATGAAAATGGTTGTATTAGAGAGACCAACGATTGCACTGCATGACATACACTTTGTACCCGAAAAAATATTGATGGAAATCATGAAAAAGACGAATAAAACTTTAATCTTTACCTTACTGACAAAAATTTAACTATTTATCAAAACAAATTTCAAAACAAACTTACCGAATCCCCACCGATTAAAATTCTTTGTTCGGCCAATAGTGCTCCAATTAAGCTAACAGTTATTTCGACACCAAATCGAGAAACAATAAAAGAACAGTTTGTGTGGCCCAATATTGATCCTTCTCCACGAATTGTTATTTCCCTTTTCAATAAATTTCCTTCTGTTTGTGTAACGCGTAAAACACCATCTTAACATTGTTTATTTTGCAGTAGCAATAAACTAATTACAATAATTACAAATTACAAACAATAATTACAAATTTTGAATGAATAAATAAAAATGAATAAAATTCTAAAATTTTGAAATTTTGAAATCTATTTAAATATAAAAAAATATCAAATATAAAAAAAAATAACCGTTCGACGGAAAACGTCGATTAAAAATAGCATCAAGCAATTTTTTTAAAATATCAAGGCCTTTTCGCAAATGTTTCACACACTCTCGAGCAAGAGCAGTATAAAAGGTTGAAGCATGAATTGGAGAAACCAAAGCGAATACTTCAGGAAGCAAACCTCGCACTGATGTCGATTCGAAAAAATAGATCATTCACTCTTATATTTATGAGTTTCACAATGAATTTATTCATTCCAATGAAAAATTAAAAATTCAAATAGTATAAATTTTTTTCTCAAAACAATCAAAAAATAATCTGATAAATTAAGACCTTAAACAAAATAAAGACTTATTATTATTATTACCTTTGTCCTGGCTAAGCTCATCTTCTTGCAAAAAATGTTTAATGCAATATGCAAAGGATCTGAAAGTCAAGATCAAGATGAAAAAATAAATCCTTTAAAAATTGCATAAAATGGATTGTTGACTGATCTGAGTGGAAATAAAATGTAAGAACAACAAATAAATTTTTCAGAATACCTTTTTCCATTTTGATCAGTCAGTGTTAACATGAATTCCTCATCCCTAGGCAAAACATTACAATGGTAATAAGGTCGAGCTCTAGTAAAATCAGGAATGAACAAATCAGCACAGTCTACAGAAGACGATTGTCCATTTGAATCTTGAAATAGTTTAAAATAATAACGCTGAGGAAAGATAGTTTATGTTTCGAACATTAAATTTAAATTAAATTAAAGAAATATACGTGATTTTAACATTCAATTATGAAAAACTCACAGATTTCTGGATAAGTATACACCACCATGGGAATATAGCGACAGTTAATATTCTTATAAAATGGTCCATTACAATCGTTTCTAAAAAATAAGCAAAAATTATAGTATGTCTGCCCGAAAGAAATGTTGGAGGAATCTGAAAATAATTTTAATAAAATTTAATATTTAAAGATCAAAAATTTTCGATATCATCAAGTATATTTAAAGTATTAATTATTAAAATTTAATTTTTGAAAATTTGATTTATCAAATATTTCTGTCATTTTTATATATTTTTTACATGTGACCGTGTGAAAAAGGTTTTTTCATGTTTTCATGTTTTCTATTTTCCATGTTTTCTATTCTTACGCGTTTCAATAACGCGTATCGATTAGATTAGCTCCATTAACCACAAGAGCAAATGAAATAGCTAGTGCTCACCATTTTTGACTAAATTATTTGCGTTGATATAATATAATCAATATAATTAGAAATTCCGAGGAATCATTTAACGAAAAAAGGAAAGAGCATCCAGATTTTTTAACGAAGGGGGTTATTTCACCAAAAGTAGAATCAGAATACTTCTGAAAAAATAAATTGTCAATACGATAATCCGAATCCTGTCGACAATCCTGCCACAAGAATAAGACATTTCTATTTCCTCGATCATATGGAGCGGCTGAAAGGAGCAGAAACCACTTCTTTTTCCACGTACAAGTACAAGTCCATATACGGTTGAAGTGTCTCGCTGATCTTATTAAGCAAGATCTTCACTGGTTCTTTCTGGTGCATACAGCAAAATTTGATTTTTGGCGAAAGAAGTGGAGACTCTTCTGATTACTTTTCTGATTAAAAAAACGGCCCTATGAGTGCAATCGATCCTCTACAACAATATTAATCGAGGTGATAATCAGCGAACGGATGCAATCATATAAAACTTCAAGGATAATAGTAAAAGCAAAACGCTTATCAAATTAATATAGAAATATAGAAGCTACAAAAAAAAAAATAAGCAATACAAAAAAAACCTTGAAATAAGTTTAACAATTAATGCGCGATCGAATAACTGCGGAATAGTTTGTTTCGAAAATTCCTTAATCTGTTGATCATATAAAATAAGCGTATGACGATGAATTAATTTTGCTCTAGTAACTTTTCGTTTAAGTTTGCTTTCCGTTATATCATCGTCTGCCTGAAAAAAAGAAAAAAATCATGCAAAGATTTTTTTTAAAAAACAAACAATTTTTTAAAAATAATATTAATATTATTTTAATATTATTAATAATATTACTTTACTATCATTATTATGCAAGAATGGTTGTTGAATGTTCATTGATGTATCTAACGAACTCGCTTGATTTTCTTGCTTTCTAAAAGTAATTCGAATAAGTAAGGCTTTTAATTTTTGAAATAAAGGCGATCCTTAATTCTTAATAGCGAAATTTATGGAAAGTGATAATCTAAAGAAAAATAAAATTATTTTTTACAATGGAGCTTTCCTAATTAGTTATTTATAAAATAATTACTTTTCTTTTATTTCAGAATAAAAAATGATAAAAACTTCAAGTTCCAAATTATCGAATTGACAATTTCTTGACAATTTCAAATAAATCGAACCGAAAAACATCAGATTTTATATAAAATGAAATGCATTAGGTTGTTCGTAAAATCAATGCCGATTTTCAAGAGAAATTCAAAGATGAAATTTCGATGCATTCAGATAATCCTTAATCCTTTGACCAGTTCATGCATATGTTTTATTCACGCTTACTAAACCTGAAAATCCTATTCCACAAATTTCTTACAAAAAATCGCGTAAGATGATGATTTTTTTCATAGTCCAAATGATTAAAATTCTTCTCGATAATAAAATTCTGCAAAGAACGAAATCAGTGATAAAAGTGATAATCTAACTGTGCAATATTTGCGAATTGGGTAAATAGATACATCAATTCTTTTCCTGTACAATGGCCAAAAAGACAACATTTTGAAGGAACGTGGGGCTTTCGAACTCGAGTGGTACTTATGTAAATTTCGTTCCGGTGACTTCACATTCACAATTTTCCATACAAACTTTGATGATTGTTCTTTTACTTTTTTGAAGTTAATCATTCGACATTGTTATTAGCGATATTATTTTACATATCATCAATATTCGCTTTAAAAAAACGTGTCTTCGTTTGTTTGTACGGCGACTGTTGACAGAACTGTGATCATCGCAGAATTACAAATAAAACTAATTTCGATTCACAGATCTCAAACAATTTTTTTGAAAGGCGCAACATATATTTCAAAGCAGATATGTCAACTCTTCACTTTAACACGTCTTCTAAACATTCTTCCAACGTTGGCTATTAAAAATCAGTGCAACAACGTTCTGAACAACCCAAACATTCTTGAAAATAACTAATATGTTTAAACTGATAAATCATCTAAAAAATTTAAGTGAAATATAATTTTACAACAATTTCAAATTATATATTAAATTATATATGTTAAATTTTATTTAATATATAATTTTATATAATTTTTTATAATAAATATTATATTTTGAATTTATTTTTTAAAAAATTTTCTAAAATACGCATTAAATAGCATTTAAAAGTTAAAAAAATGTAAGACAACAAATAAATAGGAAATTGCTCACTGCAGAGGTGTTTTCATTTTGGAGCACCGATATAGGAATTTTCTTCCCGAAAAGATTAAATAAGTCTTTCAAAAATCTGAGTTTCTATTGTCTCTTTGCCAAAATCTACCAAATCTACCAAACAATTGTGCCCAACCAAAAATGATGAACAATCTTAGAAAAAAAAAATAAATAAATAAAAAGAAAACCGAATAATTCGATGTAATTTTTTGTGCGAAACAATTGGCTGTTCGCTTTTATCCATTTATGATAAGCCACTGATATTATTTGCCACTGATAACATCGATTATCTTCCTTATCTACATTTATTGAAGAACTGTAAAATTAAATGTAATGAAATTACGATAGTAATATTAAACTAAATGAAACAGAACTACCCAAATTTTCTAATGGTAAGTTTACTCTCGCCGCGACAAAGGCTCAGGCCAACCTATGGTACTTGAAATAACGACCTACATGGCCACCAAAAGAACCATTCGCCTATCCTGCCCGCCCCATTCCGGGCCATTTCAATCGACCCATAGCGGCGCATAAATTAAAAAACTTAAAACTATGAATCAGATAATAAAAAAACTGCATAAAAGAAATCATCGAAAATTATTTAATGATTTCCCGCTAAAAAATCTTTGAATAAAAATATCGTAACTAACAGCACAATATTATAGAATTTGATGTTTCGTGAGGCAAAGGAAAAATGGGTAGAAAATTGATTGCATTATACGTATTTCAAGATTTGAAGGAAAGATTTTGCACGAGCATGAGCTTTCCTTCGTCTGCAGCGCTACCTCAGCCCTCTTCACTCGTCCTCTATCCTCTAATATAAGTGTAACTTTTTGAATGAGAAGTGCCATAGAGAGGAGGAAATCCGCTCAGTGGGCAAAGAGAGAAGAAAGCTGAGAACCACAGGCGGGGAGAATTTTGTCCAAAATGCTATTAAATGCTATTTGTTGCCCTATTTCATGTCTTCTATGCATCCTTCATAGTTGATGCATCCTTCCTTCATGCATCCTTCATAAAGTCACTGATATGGTGATTGCTCACATATAAATGTGGTCTGCTCTAATCAAAATCTCATTTTATCTAACGTTTATGCCTTTTTAAATCGTTGCCAATGTGACGAGGGAATCTTCCTTCCTTCTAATAAATAAGGATTTTGTCCGGGAAACCAAAGTCATGGATAAAGTGATTTGTGGATTTTGCCAACGTCCTTCGAAAAACCAGGTAAGCTAGAAGGGATGTGACACCGTGACACCTTTGTCGCGGTAATCGCACTTTCGTGCTTGCGCTCGATGCTTTGGAAAGTCTTCCACCCCCTTCGAACGGAAGTGTCGTTTCGCTCTAAGCAATTTTCGCTAGTTCGGTGATTTTCATTCCATCGTTGTTGCATATCGAACTGATAAGAGTGATAAACACCGCAAAGTCACAAAAAATTGAATAAACAACAAACACAAACAATTTTTATAATCGAAATCTTTTTTGATTTCTCATTAAAAATCGCATTTAAATCGCATTTTTCTGCAAAATATAAAATAGCTTTTAGAAATTTCGCAATAATTAAAATTAAAAATTTTATTAAATAGTTCGAATTAATTCGAAATTTAAATAAAAAATAAGAAAAGTTTTGTTGAAGAAAATTTTTAAAAATTATATGAAAAATTTTTTTAAATCTGAGAACAAAAATAATTTTACTAAAGTTTAAAAAAATGATAAAATCTAAAATATTAATAAAGCAAAAATGCAACAAAAGATGAATAAAAAAATAAGCGAACACAAAAATTACGTGAAAATTACGTGAATTTCCATTGATCTGTTTTTTAATAGTTAATAATCGACAATAATTAATATTATAAAAAAAATTTTTTTTTTTGAAGAGACCCCACCATTACTGATTAAACTCGCTCCACTGGCTTGTCGCAACTGAGCAATATGCCAGGGAGTCCCTTGTCGATAGAAATACCGGTAAGTCGGCAGCATCACCTGGATTTTTGTACAGGTTTGCTCATGCGGGGAATCGAACCTCAGCATCGGCGCTCCCAATTGAGCAACAACCCACTGAGCAACTCCATTCTCTCCCCAACCGTATAGCTAAAATAAAATCGCTCAAATTTAGTAAATTTTGTGTGCAATTAACGCGAATTATTTAGTCGGCTATAGCGATAAAAATTGATAAATATTATCGAGAAAATCCATGTAAAATATAAAAATATTCGAAAAATGCAATAAATGGCTTAAAGGAAAGGAAAATAAAATTAGTTGATAAAATCCGTAAGTTGATTCAATTTTTTACCTTTTTTATTTTATTTCATTTCATTTTAATGGATATTAATTAATCTCATTCCAGAATAATGAATTATATGGTCAATGGAATTTGCCAGAATGCTGCTCTTAGAGCGGAAGCTGAAGGATTATATCCTCGTTCCTGCGCATTTCGTTGTTAACGCCACAACCACGACTGCACGAATGGTATTTTCTTTGGAAAAAATGCTTTAGAATGCAATAATAAGGTAGGTCATTTTGATCTTAATAATATAATTACAGGGAACGATGAAAGCTACAATTAAGCTATTCCTTACGATGTCTCAATTTTGTACAAATCCAAATATTTCCGCTTTAGCATTAGCAAAGTGTCGTCGGAACTGCGGATTATGCAATCAACCTGGTGCAGGTTGCAGATGCTTCTCGGAATTGTGCCGTTTTAATTGCTCTCGGTGGTTGCAACGATACAGATGCACAGCGGGATTGCGTGGGATCGTGCGACATGAGATCCTGTTTTTGATGTAAATTTTTCATAAATGTTCTGTTGATAATTTCATTAGAGTGGAGTGAATTATAAAATTTTCTTAGAAGTCTTCGATTGTACTATACAATTTTTTAAAGAGCACTTATTACTTGCGCTTCGGCTTGCTTTACTGGCAAATAAATATTCCAAAGAGCTACATGAGAGCATCACTGTGCTACATTATGGTGAACTGTGCTACATTCGAATTGACTTTATCATTAATTTGTGTTCAATCGCCAAGTTCCATAATCTTAGCTATAAAAGGAGGACCAACCGCATGTTCAAATGACCGTGCAAATTGTGCACAAATGCAACGCTTTTGCACTGTGGAACCATTTGCTGCAACAATGCCGAAAATATGCCATATATGCACTTGAAAGCTTTCTAAATCTAATCCGTTTATATGACAGAGTTTTGCCGAAAAATGAATTCGCCCACTTTTTTTTCTATTTCACTTTTTAAATTTTCCATTCCTTTTTCTCCTTCCATTCTTATTTCCAATTTTAGTTGTTCAATCCGCTTTTGTGTTTTTTTATTATTATTTGTCAATAATTTGACGATTTTTTGCAATTTTGCTCATATTTCTTCGAATAAAATTTTTGTATTTCGCTAATCGTTACCGCAATTCAAATTCATTGCTGGCGGAGTTATCAAATTATTAAAATCAATGCGATGAATGAAAGATGCTAATAATTTGATTTAAATGCTGTCGAACTAAAATTTAAAAATATATTTGGTGCCAATAAAAATAAAATAATTTAAAAATAAATTAAAGAAAAAACACATTTTATTTTATATTGGCGAGGATCCGAGCTTTTATCCATTTGAAAATTATTAATTATTTAAAATAAATTATTAGAAAAGATCAAAAAATCTTTCGGGATGTGAAACAATCCCGGGGCTGTATAAAGTCTTATAATTTATATTTAATTATAATTAATTCCAATAATTTTACAATAAATCGTTATCTAAATAACCTTCGGTCTTCTAATAACCAACGTTCGCAGCCTCCACACCTTCAATCCAAGTTTTCATTCTTCCTCTCTTCATAGGGCACTTTAATCACCAAGTTCTACGGATAATAAAGAGTAATACCTGAATAATCTTCAAAATCTTCAAACTTCTGAATCGGCCTTTCTCCTGTGGATGCGGTATATTATTTCATAGATCTAATGTAGGATTTAATTAAAAAGTAATTAACGATAATCATTAAGAACTATGGAAGGAAAAAACTGACAATGTAAATTATGTAATGTCAAGGATATTTATTTTCCAGAAGATTTTTGGGTTCATGCATTTTTTTTGTTTTTTCCTTTTGTTTCAGTTTTTGCTTTTGCTTTCCTTGCAATGGCGATCAATATGTTTGGTGCGAGATATGTTCACCTTAGCGGCAACCAATATTTATTCGGCTGAGGATGACATATTGAGGGTGAACTGTCGCCGAATGGCGAAAAAAGTTGTAAATATGAGTAAGCCATCGGATTCCCGCCCATCTTAAATTAAATATAAGCTCCCAAAAGATCATTTTTGGTCATCTTGTGCTTCTATTAGGGGAAATAAGTGGGGGAGCAGTCGGTGAGCGATGGGCATTTACATCTTATATTTGATTTCATACTATATTATTTCTTTGTAGTAGGGCAACTGCTTCGCTTTATTTTCTTGTATATTACGTCTTTACTAATACAGGTTTAATTACCCAAGTTTGAGGGTTCGCAACGAGAAAAGTAAGAAGAGAACGCTCGCCTTTATAATATTATTAAGAAATAAGAGTCCCGCGTGGCAGGAAAGTTAAATCTATATAGAAAAAATATAGTAGGGCGGTTTCCCAAAAGGAATTTTTGTAAAGGTAGAATATTAGAAGAGGAATTGCCGTACTCCGAAAATTTCATAGTGCTATATACCTTTTTTCTGCGCATAAACTGTCCATACAAAAAGAAGATTCTTACGAGCCCTTTCTTCACTTCTAGCAAGAATTCATTCACTAGTTGCTCTTATTTGAAGTGGCAACAGGATTGATTAAAATAAAATACGATAAAAGATAATAATTATTGGCTAAATTATCATATGATATAATTTAAATAATCGATCTCAAATAATCTTTTGAGATTGGCTGAAATTTGGTAAATTTTTAATATTAATATGAATTAATTATTAATTAATTATTAAATTAATATAAATTAATATAAATTTATAATTTCGCTATTCTATGGTGGTAAAAAATAATAAAACAGCGATATGGAGAAAACCTAAAAGTACAAAAAAAATTTTGAAAATCGCAGTAAATGGCTCAAAACTTATTGGAAAGAAATGTGAAAAATTACTTTCTCTTATAATAAAATTGGATAAATAAAACGAAATTGGGGAGGAAAAAAATTTTTTCGATAGTTCTTTTTTTAGGGTGGGCAAGCGAAGTTTTTTTGAATATATTGTTGATGGCGATATCAGAGGAAGTCGTTCGTTTCTAATTATTCCACAGCTGAAAAAAAGAGATGAATAAGGGTTTGCCGATATGCAGCTGAATTAACTGATAATCTCTATAAAGAAATGATAAAGAGCAAATAAATATATCGGGTGGAGGATAAGATCAACAGCTTTTATCAACAGTGAAATGGTATACGACGTGCTATTTCTTCTAAGCTTTGCAAAAGCGATTAGTTCAGGAGTTATTGATGAGTGTTTTGTGGAGAATCAAGTTAACAATCAAGCTGTGCGACGTCCATCACAACTTGCCCAAGCTTGCAGCAATAATAACCAAGCTTTTTGTGCTGAACTTTTTGATCCACCGGCTAATGTTGCGGGAAATAATGCAAATCCGTAAATATATTTCGGCTTAATTTCTCCTTTTTCTTCGTTTTAATAGTAGTTAATTAATTTCTTTACAGGGCAATGTCTTATAATGTTAATGATCGGTGCCAAAATGCTGCCCTTAAAGCGGAAGCCATTAAAATATGCCCTCGTTCCTGCGCGTTTTGTTGTTTAACACCACAGTATAATTGCACAAATGGTATTCTCTTTGGAAATAAACCTTTAGAAATTAAGGTCGGTTTGGAATTTTCAAGTAATAATATAATTTGTGGCAGAATTGAATTACAGAGAATGAAGAAAACTGCAATCTATTCCTTACGATGCCTCAGTTTTGTACAAATCCAGATATTTCGGCAATAGCGTTAGCAAAATGCCCTCGAAACTGCGGGTTGTGCAATCAGCCTGGTGCAGGCGGTCGTTGCCCAGATACTTCTCCAAATTGTGCTGTGCTAGTGGCTCTCGCAGGCTGCAAGGATACAAACGTACAGCGGAATTGCATGGGAACGTGCAACATTAGATCCTGTTTATGTAAAAATTTTTGTCAAGTTTTCCAGTGAAGATATTTTCATTAGAGTGGGGTATAGTGATAATAAATTTTTTTTGAGGCGTCTTCGACTGTTTATTTTTTTCAAAAAGTGCATGCTATTTCTAATTAGGCCCGCTCCACTGGCAGATAAATTTCGCCAAAGAACTACTTCAAGGGCTTCTTAGGGAAGGCACCACTGTGCCACGTTACGGTGAATTGAATTGATAAATAATCTCGTAAGTAATCGCCAAGTTTATACATAATCAATGTGCTTCAATTTAGCTACAACAGGAGGACCACCTACATGTTCAGACGATCGTGCAAACTGTGCACAAATGCAACGTTTTTGCACTGTGGAACCATTCGCTGCAACAGTGAGACAACAGTGTAGAAAAACATGCGGTATATGCACTTGAAAATTTCAAATCTGTTTATATGGCAGATATTTACCAAAATAGCGAATTGAATTCTTTTATTTTTTTCTATTTCCTCTTTAAATTTTCTTTTTCATTTCTTTCTTCCATTTTAATTTTGAATTTTTCTTGTTCGATCCTTTTTTAGTCCTTTTTCTTTTGTTATTTTTTGTTATTTATTAAAAATTTTTCGATTTTTCTCAATTTTTTTTAAAAATTGTTCGAATAAAATTATTTTACAAACATTTCGATAATTTGCGCTATTTCTAATTATTTCTAATCTATTTTTGGTGAATTTAATATCAATGAGATAAAAAAAGATTTTATTAAAGATTTTATACTTTGATCAACCAAAATTTAAATTATAAAATTATAGTCGATGAAAAGAAAAAATTTAATTCGAATATTTCTATTTAATTTCTTTTCTATTTGATTTATAATAGCGATAATAATTATTTTTTATTTTTATTTGTTTTAAGAAGAAACTTTTCGTTCAAAAATTTAATTTAGATTTAAAGTTTTAGATTTTCAGAAATTATACGTTGAATGGTACTATTTTTAATAATAAGTGCAAAATTTTATAATTTAATTCTAATGAAATTAGCCGAAGAATTGCGCCCAAATCGTGTGCGCAATTTGGTGTAAAACAAGGAAGTGCAACTGCAACGACCGAGAAAAGTTTGTTATAAAGAAAATTCAGAAAATCTTTCCTATTCTTCCAACAGTTTGCACCGTTCTTGATTAGACTATCAACACCAGCTAGGCACTTTTAAGCCTCTCAATATAATTAGTAACCGAAGTCACTTTTTCCACGGTGCATATCGCTAAGTTTGACGTTTCTCCTGTTTGCATCCTTAACATTAGGTGCATCCATCGTTGATAAGCTCTCCTACCGAAGCGCTCATGCTGGCGTTCTATTCCTGTCAAGGCACAAGAAGCATTAATTATTTTATCCTTCTCTGAATACTTTCCAAGAATTTTACAACCAGCAGAACCAGCATAACCAGTAATGATGAGAACCAGCAGAACCAGCATAACCAGTAATGATGAGTAAAACTGTTAGAAGTTTTCGCGATTTCGTTTAATAGCTTTTATTTGCATATAGACAAATTGCTTAAGTGCGATCAGCACGATTACCACAAACTGCTGAAAATTGAATAAATACCAAATACAAAAGAGTTTTATAATCGAAGCCTTTTTTTGATTTTGCGTTAAAAATTCATAGAATATTCCTTCACTGGTTAGGGTTCTTCGTCGTTCCACCATAGGAATCGACGCATATTTCGTTACTTGCTAAACCTTATGATGGGTGTCAAAAGGGCCAGACAGAACCCAGTCAGGACCTGGATTGATATAGCCAGGAAAGATTTTGACTGTATAGGGGGACCAACGATATGTGGACTTAGGCGATGGAAAAAAAATGGCTTCTATTACTACTGGCGATGGCGTCGGATCGCGTCGCTTGGAAGCGTCTCACCCTTATGACCAGCATATCCAGTGAGAGCTGTTCGAAGAAGAAAAAGAGAAGAATGTGATAACTTTGGTTGCAATTTGTGGCAATCGAGGTTCCATGCTGCTTAATGCATTTGCAAAGATTTCCACTTCTCTTCAACTAAAAATAATTTTACAAAATATTTTTCGGTGAATTCGCCAAATCATTTTTGTTCGCATATCGACAGATTGGTTAAATACGGTAAATTTAATTACCACAAACTACAAAAAAATCGAATAAATACCAAAAACAAAGAATTTATTTGATCTACGAAACTAAAAATTGCATTCTTATTTAGCAAAACTATAATAAAAGATGAAAACAAGTAAAAAGCACAATTAATAAATCAACGAGAAATTGCATAAATCTACTTTTTCAATAAAATAATTATTTACTTATAAATAATTTTAACTTATTTTTATATAAAAAAGCTTTTGATGTTATATGAAAAGAGCTAAAATTTGCTATATTTTACAAGAAAAGTTTTATTTTCGGATTTATTTTTGAATGGGTCGACGAAGTTTTCTCCGAATAATATTATTGATGACATCTTTGGAGTTTGTTTCCAGTTATTCCATAATTGAAAAAAAGGAGGAACAGCTGAATTAACTGACACAATAAAACAACAAATAAATTTGGAGTGAAGGATAAGATTTGCAGCTTTATCGAATTTTTTTCTAATAGCGATTTCCACTTTTGACTAGCCAGGTGGCTTGCTCGAGCAGATAAATAATTCTCCTGGTGATAGGTCACCAGCGCCATTGTGCTAGTGTTACGATGAATTGCATATTTGAGTAATATTTAAGGGTTTTTTCGTTAGCATTTAATCACTGTATTATACTAAATCTATCTATAAATTTAGCTATAACAGGAGGAGCATCTGCACGTCCAGACGATCGAGCAAATTGTGCACAAATGCAAGTACAACGCTTTTGCACTGTGGAACCATTCGCTGCAATAGTGAAACAACAGTGCAGAAAAATATGCGGCTTATACACATAAAAATTTAGTCAATCTAACCCATTTATATAGGATAGTTTTAAAAAATGTAAAAAATGAATTGAATAATTTTTCATTTTTCATTTTCATTTTTTTCTATATCTTCTTTAAAATTTCAACCCCATTTTTTTTCCGTTTTAATCACCAAATTTTTGCCTATTTGATTCTTTTTTTTTGATTTTTCTTTTTTTTTGTTATTTATTGCTAAATTCTTAATTTTTTAAGCATTTTTTCAAATAAAATTATAGAAAATTATAATAAATAAAATATAAAAGAAATTGCAATTTGATAAAAACTATCGGCCAAAACTCAAAATCGAATTTAATGCCAACATTAATTCCATGTTTTCCGGTGCGCTTTATAGTAATAATAGTAACAATAATAGTAATAATTATAAAATAAAATTAAAGGATACAATGGTGTGGAAAAATCATTTAGAAATTTAATTAAAATAAATTAGAAATTAAAAAATAAGTTCTGATAAGTTCCATTCATATTGGTCATTTTGTAATGCTAAATAATTATATAATGTATAAAAAAATATATATAAAATGCATGGAATATTCAATTATTTTAACGAATTTTTGTAGGTTTATAAGTTTTTTAGGTAGACAATTGCAACTTCTCCAGGGAGTTGTATTCCAAACCTTGTAAATGCTATTAAATATCGGAGAAATTTCTTTTCTACTGGTGCGACCCGAGTTTTGAACCCATTTGATCGTTTACAAATATTAATAAAAAGAAATAAATTATTTTAGAAAATTGTCTTCTAATTGCATTTGTTGTAAAAAGAAATTTTTTATCTTATAGAATTTTGTTAAGTTCGATTCAAAATTAATTTTCGTATTTTCAGAAATTTTGATTGAATAGTTAAAAAATTGATTCTTAGTGCACAACTACAGAATGAACTGCAAAATATTATGATATGAATTTAATAAGAAGTGCATCTGCAGAAGTGCGCGATACTGGCGAAAAATTTCTGCTAACTGGAACAATGGAACTATGTGAGAAAAGAGGACAACAACTTTTGCAATACTGGAAGCAATTACTCTATTTCATGCGAATAGCGATAAATCTTCTGATAAAATAAAAAATAAAATGAACTGTGGAAAAAAAATTTTATTTTTCAACTTATTTTGGAATGAATAGGCGAAGAAGTGTTTGCATAGAAGAGGGTGATAATAATGGTAATACAGCTGAATCAACTGATAATCTCTATAATCATCTGAACTGATAAATAAACAGCAAATAAATATGCCGAGTGGAGGATAAAATCATTTTTAAACAAGATTCAAATGGTGTACGCCGTGCTGCTTTTTCTAAGTCTTGTAAAAACGATTTGTTCAGGAACTGTTGACATTAATGAGTGTTTTGTGCAGAAAGTGGTTAATCAAATGAATGTGAAACGTCCATCGCCACTTGCGCAATCGTGCAAAAATAATAACGATGCTTTTTGTGCTGCACTTTTTGATGTTACGGAGGCAAATGATCTGCAAAATAATGCAAACCCATAAGTGGATTTTGACCTAATTTCTTATCAGTTTCACTTTAAAGAACCAATATTAATCCGATTGCAGAATGATGGGTTATAAGGTTCATGAAAATTGTGAAAAAGCTGCCCTTAAAGCGGAAGCCATAAGAACGTGCCCTCGTTCCTGCGCATTTTGTTGCTTAACACCGCAGTATAACTGCACGAATGGTATTTTCTTTGGAAATAATTCTTTAGAAATTCGAATTTACAGCAGTTTACAATTTATAAATAATGTAATCTCAAATTATATTACAGAGAGCGAAGAAAACTGCAATCTGTTCCTTACGATGCCTCAATTTTGCACAAATCCAAACATTTCATCAGTAGCATTAGCAAAGTGTCCTCGGAATTGCGGATTATGCAATCAACCTGGTGCAGGCGGTCGTTGTCCAGACACTTCTCCGAATTATGCCGTGCTAGTGGCTCTTGCAGGCTGCAATGATACAAATATACAACGCACTTGCATGGGAACATGCAACATTAGAACCTGCTTATGTAAGTTTTAATCAGCTTTTCAACTATTTTCATTAGAATAGGCTTAATTAATTATAAATTTATTTTGATTTGGTTCTTTAGCTGCACTATAAGTTTCTTCTATGCGCGCTTACCGTTTCCACTTCCTTGGCTGACTAGAAGAATTTTGCCAAAGAGCGATATGGTAGTGCATTGCTAAGTAAACTAAGTAAATTCATAAATTCATATTCAAATATGAATTTAAAGCATTATTTTGACAAATTTATACATACGTAATTTATACATGTCAATTGTACATATAATTAATTTATACATCCGTTCGATCCGTTTAAATTCAGCGACAACAGGAGGACCACCTGTTCCAACGTGTGCTGACGGCCGAGCAAATTGTGCACAAGTGCAGCAATATTGCACTGTGGAACCATTCGCGGGAACATTGAGAGAACAGTGCAGAAAAACATGTCGCATATGTACATAAAAACTTGGCCAATCTTACCTTTTTATATGGCAAAGTTTTACCATAAAAATAAACACAAAAAATTAAATTAAATTCTTTCATTTTTTTTATTGCCTTTTCCTTTCCATTCCCCTTTTCAATTTTAATTTCCAGTAATTCTTTTTTGTATTTTTCGCTTCATTTTTTAAACATCTTTGGTTTAGTAATGCTTTGGTTATTCAATAATGGTACTCCACTGAATCATACAAACAAGCCATATTGATTTAATTAACCTACATTACAATAATATAATGTTAGTAATATCGTTGGCAAAATAAGTTTTTCTTCATAAGATTTTCATACCACTTCGAAATTTTTAGATTTTTAAAAATATTTTGTTAATATAAAAAAAAATTATATAAAATAGGAATTCGATTTTTGGCAAACTCATTTCATCTGAGCCCAGTTGTGTGTGTGTTTTTTTTTGAAAAAGCTAAAAAGCTAAAGCTAAAAAACCAAAGAGGTAAAAAATCTCTTCGCAAAACAAGTAGCATAAAGAAAGCCCACTAAACTGATAATAAATGATAAAACTTTAGTTTTTAATTTTTGTGGCTTTAATTATTATTGGGTCAAATGAGACATCCAGGGAGATGTGTTAAAATAATGGGGCTATGAATCAATTGAAAAATACAAGGATTTGTTTAGAGAATTTTGTAAAATATTCTTATTTTCATGTTATTTTTTATCGAAATATATTTTGGAAAAGAATAGATTATGCATAAACATAAAATGGAACAAAGATAATCATGTATGCTGGAGTGATAAGATGTTTCTCTTGCAATTTTTAAGATTCGTACTCTAATTTTCTTTAAAAAAATTTCGAAGTTGATAAATGCTGCTGATTCCGTGGTAAATTTGAAAGGCTTTAAGAGTTTTCTTTTAAGATATTTTATATTGTTTTGCAATGAATGTATAATTGCAGTCGAAGTGTTAAGCGGAAACATGGGTCGTCCCAATTTCAAAGGTCCCAAACAGACTAATTTTATCTTAATTAACTTCCTTCCACAAAATTCCGTATCAAAGAGGCGAAGCTGAAACTTGAAATCTTCATGAATCAGACCATGTTACTGTTTAAGTTAAACCCTGCGTAGAGCTGCTGATAAGTGACAGAATCCCTCAAAAACATTTCTTCTTTTCGAAATCGTTCCGGAACACGAAGCATATTTCAAGATGAATTATAGAAAAACAATATAAATATTAATGAAAGAAGGATCAAGGATGTCAAGGATACGAAATGACTAATAAGTATTGTTTCCAACTAAATGAATACTAGAATATATCAGTCGAAAAAATGTTAGTTGGGGCATCGCGAGCCAATACCAACTACCAGAATCCAACAATCAGAAAAGGCTGTCAAAGCGTTAAAATATCTCGGCTAAAAACGAAGGAGAGCAACGAATTTTTTATAGTCCCTATTCGTATGGGGATTGCCTTTTTTCTTTATCAAAAAGGGCAATTTAGCGCCAAGACAGATTGGCTCAATCCTAGTAAAGACGATCTTCAGTTTCAGTTTTTATCAGTTATCTTCAGTTCTTATCAAAAGCTTTTCCAGTAATATGCACGAATAAAACCGAAAGCTCATATGTTCGAATTCAAAAAGGAAATCCAGCTCTTCTAAATATAGAATATTCATCTGGCAAAGGAGGCCAAGTAATGGAACTTGTTGATATCAAAAATGAAGTTGCGATAATCTCCAACATAGGAAATTTTCACTTCTCTTCAAATGTCAACAACTGTGCAAAATAATTCTCGGCAGTTTTTCTTCCTCAAATCGTTTTTCTACATCGACAGACTGGTTAAGTACGGCAAACGCGCTTAGCACAAACCGCAAAAAAATAATGCAAAAAAAAAATTTTTTTTTTCAGAAAGAATTATTGCATTCGAAGCTTTTTTTGATTTTTAATTAAAAATCGCATTTTTTTTTATGCAAAATGAATTAACGCTTTTAGAAATTTTACGATCGTTGAAATCAGTATTTTATTAAATAATTCGAACTGATTTAAATTATAAATAAATTAAATAAATAGCGAGAAAAAAATTTTGTAAGTTCAAAAAAAATTATGGAAAAATTAGACGAAAAAATTTTTTAAATATTTGTGAGCAAAAATAATTGTTAAAATTTAAGAGAAATGAAAAAAAATCACTGAAATAAGAAATTAAAAATTTAAAACACAAAAATTAAATCGATTAAACGAACGATAAAGGAAAAATAAGCAAAAATAAACGAGAACTATATTTAAATAAACTGTGAGAAAAATGCATTAATCCGCTTTTTCAATAATAAATTTAGTAGTAATTTTTTTTTAAAGAGTCCTCACCATTACTTGTTAAACTCGCTCCACTGGCTTGTCGTATTAGCCAGTATGCCAGAGAGTTCCTTAGCGATAGAAATACAGGTGAATCGCCAGCATCACCCGGATTTTGTACAAGTTTATTCCTGCGGGGAATCGAATCGGGAAATTTAGCAACAATAATTAATAGCTAACTAATTATAAGTTAATCAAAAGCTTAAAATAAGCTTACAATAAAGTTTTGATGTTAAATGAAAGTTGCCAAAATTTTGTTATTTTTTCTGAGAGAAATTAGCGCAAATTAATAAGTGTGTTATCCAGCACTGATAAAAAGTGATATAGTGATATCTGTTGTTTGACACCACAATATAACTGCATGAATGCTACGCGTATTTCATACTTTCATAAATATTCGAAAATTCGAATTGAAAAATCAGTTGAAAATTTTGAAATTTATAAATAATAATGCAGTTATAAATAACAAAATTATATGCAGTTATATTATAGAGAATGAAGAAAAATCCAATCTATTCAACAGCACTAGCGAAGTGCCCTCGAAATTGCGGATTATGTGACCAATCTGGTACAAATGTTCACTTTCCAGGTACTTCTCCGAATTGTGCCGTGTTGATAGCTCTCGCTGGTAACAGAATAGATTAGCTGAAAGCATGTTTTGCTTTCGGAAAAAGCTGTATTATTATCACAAAAGTTTTCAACTGAAGAATCGCTAAAAGATATTCTACACTCGTAAAATGAAATCCATTTCATGGCCATTAACGAAATATTTCTGTCGAATTTGGTTAGCTGCGATTCTATAAAACGAGAAACATTTAAATAAGAGAAGTGTAACTGTGAAAGATCGGATGGATTTTTACATGAATTTTCCTGGATGCAATAAAATGAATTTGAATTTGCAATCATGGTTTATTCCAAGTCCTATTTTCGAAGAAAGCAGATCGCAAACGAATTTATTTAGCGCTAAATAGATAATAGGGGAGGGATTTTTATGTTCATAGTTTTTATTCCATAATTTCTTCTTGCATTTTTAGCATAAAATGCAATATTATTTATTGTTCAATGCATGTTGCAATGGTCAGAATGAATGGGATTCCACTCATTCGATTTGCATATTATCCATCCTGTGGAATGCAATCTGTTGATAAAAATGTTCATAACTGAATTCCCATTTTCCTCCCTCACTTTTTCATTTGGACAAATTTTTTGTGTATTATTGCAGAATTTGAAGAGAATTCTTATAAACGAAGCGATAAATTTTGTTGTTCAGTATAACTAATAATTAACTAATTAACTAATTATTTGTGAAAAAATGCGTGAATAGTGCATATCAAATGAACGTTTCATGATGATTTCTTACTAATTTTCTTATATAGCATTGCTTCATTTTACTTCATAATTATTATTCTTATCGTTATTATTAATAATAATAAAATATTAATCACTTTAAACTGGCAATTTTTGGAATTTGGAATTTGTTGGCACGAAACTAATTTTAAAAATTGGTTGGTAGCTTGTAAATCAAATTGCCTCATTAATTTTAATGGCTTGATAATTTTGCCAAAAAACTTTTTGAAATGTTCCACATACAAATTTATTCAAAAAACTGCGGAAAGAAAATCGGAAAATAACTAACAAATGAAAAAGTTAATAGGAAAAGTTAATCAACAGGAAAACCTACAAAAGGACCATTATTGGAAATAAAAGTGTGAGAAGGAAATGGGATGGAAAATTCAAAAGAAAGGCAAAGAGAAGAGACAAATAATTTACCAAATTTTTTTGGAAAAATATTGGTAAATTATTTTTTAGCAAAATTTTACCATATGAACAGGGCAAATTGGCCAATTTTCTATGCACATATGCGACATGTTTTTCTGCACTGTTCTCTCAATGCTCTAGCGAATGGTTCCACAGTGCAAAAGCGTTGCATTTGTGCACAATTTGCTCGATCGTCTGAACAAATCGGAATAGGTGGTCCTCCTGTCGTAGCTGAATTTAAACAGATTAATTACATATAAATTATATACAAGTTTAACTTAAGTTTGGCTCAATAAATTCTAAATGAAGTTCATTGTAATATAGTATAGTAGGGTGACGACACATCTTCACCTTAATGACTCTTTGGCAAAATTTGTCTAGCACAGCTGGACTTAACAGGAATTGCTAAACACACTTAGAAAAATTTATAGCACTTATAGAAGAATCGAGGAAAATTATTTTGAAGTGAAAATTTGATAAGAATTTACATAAACAGGTTCTTAGGTTGCATGTTCCCATGCAGTTCCGTTGCATATTTGGGTCATTGCAGCCAGCGAGTGCCACTAACACGGCACAGTTTGGAAAAGTGTCTGGACAACGACCGCCTGCACCAGGTTGGTTACATAACCCGCAGTTTTGAGGGCACCTTGCTAACGCTATTGCCGAAATGTTTGGATTTGTGCACAGTTGAGGCATCGTAAGGAACAGGTTGCAACTCGCATCATTCTCTGTAATTTAATTTGAAATTGCATTATTATTAGTAAACTTTTCAACTCCCGACTTTTAAATATTCATTTCTAAAGAAAGTACCATTCGTGCAGTTATACTGTGGTGTTAAACAACAAAATGCGCAGGAACGAGGACATGTTCTTATGGCTTCCTGCTTAAGATTAGCATTTTGACAATTTTCTTTGACCTTATAGGTTGTCATTCTGCAATGAGATTTATCAGTTAACTAGTAGAATGAAAAAGGCAAATTCAACCCAAATATACTTACGGATTTGCATTATCTTGCAGAGCTTGTGGATCCATAAGATCAAAAAGCGCAGTACAAAAAGCTTCGTTATTATTTCTGCACGCGAGTGCAAGTGGCGAGGGGCGTTGCACATTAGCAGCTTGAGCCTGGCCTGGAACACCTCCGCCCGCAGGTTGACCTGGAACCTGCACAAAGCATTCATTAATATCTACACCTTCTGAACTAATAGTTTTTATGATGGCATGAAGGAATAGCAGCACGGCGCACAGCATTTGGTGGTTGATATTAATCTTTCCTCCATTCGATATTTATTTACTGTTTATCAGTTCACGATAGATGATTATAGAGAATGATCAATTAATTCAGCTGCAATATTCAAACAAAATTTTGCCTATGCATTCCAAAATAAATCAAAAAAATATCTTTTTCTACAACATTTATTCATTTCATTATCCAATTTCATCATAAGAATTACAACTATTCGCAAAAATGGAATTGCCTGTGGAAATAAATACATTACCTTACCACAATATTTTTACCACAATATTACCACATTACCACAAATGCATTACCAATGCATTACTATGCGTTTATTTGCCACAGAAAAATTTTTAGCAAATTTTAGCGTATTTAACTACGGATGCTTTGAAGAATTGCAATGCCAACAACTACCGGAAGGATAGAAATCGCTATTAGCGAAATGGTGAGAATAGAGACGGCAGCTTGATTATAAGTTTATAGCAATAATCACTTTTTTTGTGATTGTCGATTTATATTTCAAAGTAATTCAAATTATTTCATAAAATCTTAATTTTCCATTTTCCTTAAATTGTTAATCTTAATTTTTAATAATTTTTTTCTCAGATGATAATTGCAAAATTTCTATAAGCGGTCGTAATTTATTTTGCGGGAAAACAAATGCGATTTTAAATCGGTCAAAAAAAGGCTTCGATTACAAAAATTCTTTGTGTTTTTCTTTGTATTTTTATAAATTCTTTGATTAATTCTTAATTAATTTATAAATTTATAATTAATTAATAAATTCTTTGTTTTCTTTAAATTTTTCTGTGCTTTATGGTAACCTTTTTTTTATCGCATTTTCCAATCTGTCAATATGCAAACAAAAACGATTCAGCAAATTAACGAAAACAACCGAGAAATATGCTTTGAATAGTTTTTTTTTATGTTTTTTTTCAATTAAAGAAGGGAACAAAGAAATCTTTCCAAATGGTTAAAGCAGGAAGAAACCTCGATTTCCACGAATTTGAGTTATCAATTGTCCTTGGACATGAATAGTTTTGTGAGCGAACTTTCTTTATTAATTATATAATCCATTTACATTAAGCATAACATTTTTCATAACATTTAAGACAAGAATCGGCTCAAAAGCTTCAGGCACTAACTTAATTAAGATATCTGCAACTTCAGTTAACTTGACTTGGTTTGCAAATTAGCATGGTTCTTTGCTCAGTCATGCATTTTTAACTAAGCAAGCGCAAATTCGAAACGCTGGTTTATTTTTTAAATTATGCCATGTATTTTAGGATTGCTACTATTAGTCTTTACTGGCTCTCCTGGTTTCTCGAGAAAGTGGTTTTTCTGAAATTTGCATATTCTTCTCTTCAATCTTGTTTCGGTATATAGACTAATCGTATCAATTTTCTTCACCTTCACTTTATTTCGCTTTATTTTTTTTTTCATTTATGAGAAATTTAACGGATTTTCTATTTCTATATACATTTCTATTATTTTCTGTTTCTATCAGCAATTCGGCAAATTTTATGTCATCAATTCATTTATAGTTATTACTTTTTTGTTTTTTAAAGTATTTTATTATTATTTATTTATTTATTCAAAATCATTTTAAAGTAATTCTGATTCTTCAATAAAAAATGCAATGTGTAGTTGGTAAATAATATAATAATAAATTCAAATTTAATTTTTTCAAGAATTTTTTTTCTTGCTAAGCACAAAAACAATGCAGAATTTTTTGGGAAATTGGAAAATTTAGCATTGAATTCAACTAATCGTCATAAATCTATCGTCGCTATTATGTCGCTATAAATTTCCGATCGTCGCTGTTTTGTCGCTCAGTTAAAATGGCTTCTCTGATAATGCTTATCGTTTGGTCGTTTAATAATGGTAATTTACTGGATGTCGTATTGAATTGATCAACCTCAATTATGAGAGAGTAATACTGGTAATAACGTTGATAAAATATGCGTTAATCAAGTATGATTGCCTATGAAAAATGAAAATAACTATAGTTTTTATCGATAAACGATTAATAACGAAAAAATAATTAAAATCATTTCCATTTTCTCTTTTGAACAAAAAATTCGACCAATTCAATTTTTTTTGAACTTTTAAAATATTTGCTATTTGTTTGCAATTAAAAATGTTTACAAAAATATTAATTAAATATTAATCATTTTAAAAAAAATTTTTGAACAATTTGTAAATTAATATATATTAATTATTATTGTAAAGGATTACCCTTTTTTTTGCATAAATTTCTATCATTCATTAATGAATTTGAAGTGAATTTGAATATTGCCTTGAGCTATTACTGCGTTCGTTCCTTTTACCAGCGGTTGTTATTCATTTTTCACCTTACAAAATTATACAGAATTTCATGCACTGATATAAGGAAAAAATTTGGAAGAAATTAAAACCGACTAATACACTCATTTCTCTTGTCGCTGTTTTGTCGATTATCGCTGTTATGTCGCTCTATTTAAATGAAGTTGGTTTGATAATGCTTTGATTGTTTATTTAACAACGGTACTTCACTGAATCATGCGGATATGCCATACTGGCTTAGTTCACCTCTATTATACTAGTGTAATTAATACTACTGGTAAAATAAGTTTTTCGATTTTCACTTCATTTTCAACTTTCAAAATTAAAGATGATAACACTGGGATTTAATTTTTTTATCACAAATGAAATCGCTTATGTTATCTGAGTTCAGTTCCTTTATTTTCGAAGAATATTTAAAGTTAAAATTTGTACTAAAGGATTTCATCGGGTTTCGTTTGATCAATACTACTCATTTTAATGGTAACATGAAAGCCAAATTTCGAGATGAACTCATACATAATGTTTGTCGCCTTGGCAGAAAAATTCGCAATCGAGCTAACGTGAGATGACAGCCAGAAGAAACTGATTTTCATCGAGTCGATAAATTTAAAGAACCTTAGTGATCGCATATACATACAATTTTTCTGAGATCGATCTCAGAAATACGGAATTGCATGTGCGCGTAGCTTCTTATTTGCAACATCAAGACTATTTACACAAAATCC